GCGAATTTCTAATTTGTCTATAGCCAAGGGCCGAACTGGCAAAAAACTGGAAAAAGAGTTTTTTTTTTTTTTTTTCGCTGGGCACCGATCAAGCGCAGAGCCCGTTGACAAATTGATTGCATCAGCTTGTTGTGAATTGTCAACATTAATGCTAAATAGCTACACGCCAATCCACAATAACATTGGTCCGTGGATATAAACACGCTTTTAACGACGCGCGACCGCCCTTCAATTCACAGCAGTCTTAAGTGTGTGTGTTTTGAAAGTAATGGGAAGCTTCATAGGTCACGCAGCGCCTGGATCTATGTTTCTGCTGTTATCCGTCTGGTGGTTCATAGGTGCTCTTATTCGAAAGCATCAGAACACGAAAACTAAACGAGGTTTGCTTCTTTCAAGCGGCACAACGTGCACGAGATTAAAAACCCACACACCTGTCTGGTACCCATGTCCCGGAAAAACTCTTTCGAAGATTCCCCTAGAACCCATTTTAAAGGTGTTCTGTGCGTTTCTGGGGGTTCTCGGAGAACTCGCCTTGCACCAGTCTTGGACCTTAATCGGCAACAATGGAGAATTCATGGAAGACAACATCAACAATCACAGCCATGCTGCTATGTATTGTTTCTTCGGCTTGTCTGGTGTGATTGACCTTATGATGTGGTACGGTGTAATTTCTCTACCTCCAATGACTGACTATGTGATCATGTCCGTGTGTTTCTGGATCGAAGGATTCCTGTTCTATTTTCACCTTCAAGGCCATTCAGAAATAAGCGTCCGCTTACACACCATTCTCTACCTCGTGATTTTCATCACAGCGGCCTTGTTTCTGGCTGATGTCTTTTTTACACAACATCAGTCGTTGTTTTCGCTAATGAGGGCTGTTTTGGTAGCTGTGCAAGGGTCTTGGTTTTACCAAATTGCGTTTGTCCTATATGGCCCCAACCCTTGGAGAAACACCTCCACCAACGTAGAAGTGTTGTCGATCGCTTTCGCATGGCATTTGTTTATTTTTATAGTTCTTTCCGTCATGTTCGTTGCCGTGTCTAATCGATTTTGCGGGAAAAAATACACTCAAGATAATCAATTAGATGAGGAGATTTCGGACGAGGAAACGGAACACATTCCATTGAAAAGTACCTGACATCAAGACAATATACTGGTGAACTGGAGCGGTCATTTTTAAAAGCGCGACATTGAAGAATAATTAGCATAAGGGATCTCTGCCAGCTCCACTACGCCTGGTGAGAGGAAAATAGATCGCTATCAACTCGAACTGGATGCAGGTGCTTTTCTGAAATGGCCCACCGATTAAAGGGAAAGAGAGATACAAACAAACTTTGGTGGAGTGAAATTTCATCACTTCCCAGGCGACAAAACTTTAATCTCTGTGAAAAACATCAAGCTATTAATTTTAAATACCAACGTCTGAGAGAAAAACTATCGTTAAACGAAACCATCACATTACCTTCGATATCTTCCTTTCGATAAATTCATAATTTAAGGCCGGCGAAAGTTCATTTGCAATTTTATCTTGATTTCTGCTGCAGCGGGGAAATGTTTGGCCGGATTTCTTTGAACTTTTTTAGTGGAGTAAAAAACAATGGTTTTTTTATTTCTTTCTTTAATGACCTTATCGCAATCTTTTCAAGTTTTCTGGGTTAGACTTCGATTCTTAAATGAGCGAAAAACTCTATATTGAGTGAATTAAGCTGTCGCATGTCATTGCCATGTTTTCGTGTCTAACTGCAGCATGTTCCCGTTTCAGTTTTATATATTGCGGCGCTGAAAATTAAAAGACTGCTGGCTTACGGGGGATTAATATATTTTACGCTTTACTCTTAGCTGATGGCGAACGGTGAACAATGGCATATGATGTCTCTTAATAAAACACTGGGAGGTTTTAATTTGATCAAAAGTCTGGTGTATTTGATTTTACGATATTAGGTCGCCCTAGCTTAGGCTTTCGAAGGGATATTGCCTCTGTTTGCTTTCCCAATGCAAAGGATGTAATGATGTCTTTACAAATTTGAAAGGGTGTCGTATAAAATTGTTACTGCCACTACCGTATTTTGCCTGGAAAAACAAACTTGAACTCCTTGAGAGGACAAACTTACGCACATCGATCGGAAATCGTGGGCCTTTATCGTTCTTTTCCAGCATATTGACCCAAAAAAATGCTTCGTTTTTCAACTGCGCTGAGTTAATTCCCGGATAAATTTAAACTTCCGAGAGTAAAAACAAAATTTACATTTTATCTTCAAAAGATTACGATATTGCGTGACAAAAACGAATGGGTTCTTTCAGTTCCATTCGACAGTTCCTTTCTCGCCGCGTCTCCAAAGACAACCATTTCGATTGTTGGTTACCGTATCTCAGCAGTGCTAAATTTTCTCCTCGATGAAAAAAACCTCAAAGCCGATATTTCTTTTGCGTAGAAGAAATGACGAGAACTATTCAACCACTTATCAGCGAAAACGAGTTTTCTAACCGCAGTTTAAAACACTTCACCAATATTAATAATTTAAACTTAAAAAGTGTCTCTATAAGAGCGCGCCTAAATATCGAGAAGAAGTTACCCAGTATGCCTTCCTTTCTATTTCTCTAGATATCTTCGGTACATGACAAATATCTCGGTGTTTGTAGCCGTAATTAATGCATAAACGGAAACATTTCAAATTTCTCTGTGACTCCATGTGACGTACACTAGTTTCGATAAGTGAATGAAAGCGAGACACCTGGAGACATTTAATACGAAGAATTAGGAGAAAACGTCAACTGTTCGGTAAGATAACGCAATCTTTGTGATAAAGGTTATAATCGCTGGAGATCGAGGCAAGCAAATTTAGGAGCCAAAATGGTTACATTACGGAGAAAGATGAGCTAGCAGAGTCAGACACACTCTTTCTACTTCAACACTTTGCCAGTCGAACGTGTACCAGATTTCGTGTTGAATGTAAGACTGAATTAAACAATCATTTGTACTGACTAAAACCCTAAGATCTGGCAGTTTTTTTGATATTTCATCATTTTAAGCAACTGTCACTGGCATATTACGATTAATATATTACACGCCGACTTTCGAAACCGAGTCATGATCTTCTGTCTTTTCCCTGAAATTTCTCTCGATTTCTAAATGTTTCAGAGGTTTAATTTCTTTGAGATTATTACTTCCTACTACTTGAACAATAATCCTCTTTCTCGTTATGATGAGGATTATTTTTTTATAACAATAATTTTGAAATTCGGCAGGCTATTTCTGATTAAGCTCTACAGAGCTAGTCTCTTAATCGATGCCAAAAGTATTGCCATTAACGATTAACTAATTTTTTTCAAGGTGCATTTATTTTCCCTAAGCAAGCCAGATACTTGAATTGCTGCCAATGATCTTCATAAATTTGTCGCTAAAATGTCACTAAATAAGAAAAAATTGCAAAGGAACATTTCCCTCTGCAAGAGGAAATACTGTAACAAATCTTTTGAAAGCTTAAAGGCCTTTTTCCTGATGTCTCCGCTATCTGCACGTTTCATCAAACCATATAATTTCTGTTCTTGATAAGAAGTTAAAGACAAAAACATTTTCCATTACTCTTACAAACTGAGACTGTCTGGGGAACGAAACTAGTGAGTCAGCCCAGTCCACACTAATATAGCGGAGAGATCTTTATGAAAAAAACAACAACAACAAATAGAAAATATAATTTCCAAACCCAATCGAGCGCTGTAGATGTAACCATTGTGTTCATGACACATCAGTGACTGTCAATGTTTGCAAACGTACGTGTGAAACAGAAGCATTGTCTTTGTCTTAACGAAAAAAATAGGAACGATTCATTATTTATCTCCAGCGGAATCGGATGATTTTTTTTGAGTCACGTGGTCACCCAGGCTTCTCGTTGGACATAATTTGGATATATCAACTCCGACGAAGGGCTAACGCTCGAAACGTCAGCTTTTGTAATCGTTACAGTGGCCAATTTACCATTTCAACTTTGTTGATATATCCAAATTATTTCGTTACTCCCACCGACGCAGCCCCAAACAGTTTCTTTCGAAACTATCAGCCTTTATTCTCGTTGGACAGCTGTTTCAATGGCCTGTCGAAGCAGCTGGGAAAACTTACACCACAGAGAAACTATCTGTTCTTTCTGTTACTTTTTTTTTCACTTAGAAATTCTTTAGCATGCATTTGATCTCCAAGAGAAAGGCACAACATGGACGTACCTTGTTTTTAGCAGAATAAACAAATCAAAAGCGCATTCCTAGAGGGTTCCACTAAGTTCGATAGCTTATATCCAACGAATGGTAAACGCCACAGTGTACACTAAATGAGTTATGGGATGCATGCAGGAGTTTGCTAAGCATAAAAGAAGCGTAAGAGCTGCAAGAGGCGATAGTCGAGAGCGACTCTAGCTTCTTCGGAAAAAATAAATAAATAAACAAAAAGGCATTTTGAAAAAAACAAAGAAATAGCGCACTCCTAGAGGGTTCAACTAAGTTCGATAGCTTGTATTTAACACATGGTAAACACCTCAGCCTACTCTAATGAGTAATGGATACACGGGGAAGGTTGCTACGCACGAAAGAAGCGCAAGAGTTGCTCGAGGCGATACCCATGAGCAAATCTAGCTCTTTGAGTGCTTAGCAAATCTCCTAAGTGCATCCATAACTCAATAGTGTACGCTGTGGTGTTAAACATTTGATTATAATATAAAAAAACAATTTCTTGCGAAACATTTGCTCACTTCGACAGCGTACACCCACGCGCAAGTAGTAGACACTGAATTGACCAATCAGAGCTCGCGCTTTACGTTATTTAGGTTCTAAAAAAAAATGGTTCGCGTCTGATTTCTAGTGGATTTGTGCGAGCGCAGGAAACCGCTTAGGAATAGTTGCGCTCGCGTGTAAAAAGTTCGCGTCTTACATAAGCCGCGAACTTATTGCATAGCCGATACATTTATAATATAATGTACTCAAAACCTCTCATATTAATTTCAGAAACATCCTCACACGAAATACATCTCTTTATTATAAGCATAACGCATTTTCACTTGAGCTTGTGATACACTTTAACTATTCGTTAATGAAACAAACGTTTACAAAATGAGTATGAAATTTGAGAATACGGTGTCATGCAGCGGTTTCCTCAGGATTCCGTGATTGTTTGAAATGCATGACTGTCACAGAAACTGTTCTAGACGTTTTATGACAATAGTAATGGCACAAAAAGAGCACTTGACACGAGTAAAAATGTATGAGCGTTCATTCTCGCTTGGCTTAGCATTTCACGGCAACAACGATGAGCTTTTTTTAATCTAGTGGCAAGGTTTAAGATCTGTTCTCTGAAACTCGACTGATTTTGCACTTATACCCCCTGTTTACATTGCTACCTTAAGTGTGGGTACCCCAACTAGCATGAGGTTAAAGGAAATGTTCTAAGCTTGGTCTTTTTGTGCAGAAAAGTGCTGCATTGTGCAAAACCCGATAAGCACTCTTCCTGGGATAACTGCATGTAGAATCCATACTTTGCCGTGGAAATTATACTACGATAAGAGTAAATTATATTTTGAACTCAGCACAGAAGGGCATCTAAAATACCTCTAAGGGTTCAAACTGAGTTTTCTCCTTTAGAATCCCATTTATAGTGACAATACATTTTAACAAAATTATCATATATCATTTGTGCAATAATGTTCCAGAGAGCAGTTTGTCGGAACAATCCAAAAATATCTATAAACACTTCAAATTCTTACTTTGATTTATAAATTAATTTCATTTACGAGAAACATTTGTCCACACATGAAATCACTAAAATTTTTTATATGACGAACTAGAGTTTCACCATTCACAACTTTTTAAGTGAAAAAAATTTCATTTGACCTATGGATGAAACTCAACTAGGGAAATGAATCTCGCAGTTGAGTTGCAATTTTATGGAACTGCAGAAAAGAAGCCAGACAAAAATTTAGGCTTCGACACAATGGGCGGTTATTTACACAAGGTCTAACCCAAACCGCAGTTTTATGCAAACAATGGGCCTCAAGAATTCTCTTTGACAGGGATGATTTAATTAAATAAATGTCCTTCCACGATTGGCTTTTGGCCCTCTTGACACTGTTCAGAAAAATAAATGTTCAGATAAAAGGTTTGGCTCAATTGAAGATGACTTAGAACACAGCTCGGTAAAACACCCACTAAACTTTCTTTAGTTAACCGGCCTAATGGCTATGGAAAGTAAATAATGCTCAAATGAACAAATTGTACTTTTCAAATCAACTCTTTGTGGCTTAAAAAAATTGATTTAAAATCTACACTTTATATAACATTATACTCATCCCCCGAAAGAAAAAGGTTAAATAATGCTTTTAAATTTATCTCCACATCACAGCAAGTTCCAACAAGGCACTATAAAAAAACACAGTTCTTTTCAAATTTTCAAACCCTCCTATACAAAGCAATTAGTTTGCAACATATATATCAAGCTTATGTTGTGTAAACCCTTGCAGTCCCAAGATTTAAATATAACTTCTCCTTACTACCTACCATATATTTCTTAACATTTTAGCTATGAGAATATGGTGCTTAATCAATCACCATCCTTAAGTTGATACTTTACTTTCCTCTTATCACCTTTGTGCTTGAAAATGTAATGATAATGGAAGAGGAAATTCCTTTATGATCACTCCAGGGAGGGCAAAGGTTTACTCCTGTAATTCCCATGAATGATCAAGACAGAGTTTCTCCTTACAATATCAATACAACACCCAGCAGACAAGTGATGAAAATAAAGAAAAATATCAACAAGATGGTTTTTAGTTCATCCAGTACCAAATTATTAGAAAAGAAAACATCATAACAATTAAAAGGCAGAATAAAGAGAATTACTAATAAGATCCCAGGCAGAGAGAGAGAGAGAGAGAGAGAGAGAGAGAGAGAGAGAGGAGGTTACTTCAAAGGTAAAATTATAATTCTAAATTCCAATTTACATTTTATCCCACAAATTACAATAATGATGCTGCATGTATAAGCAGCCAGTCTCTTTAACAATGTAAACCACATACGAGAAACAAAACTTGAAAGAGATGGCTGCTTCTCTTATGAGATAAGCAACTCCGTAGTGGCAAACTTTTCAATATGTTTTCATGGAAGCTAGACAAACAAGGTTTAGTATGTCATGAAGAGATTTCCTAATAAACTTTCCATATAAAATATATTAAAATAGGCAAAAAAGTTATCTCGAATTTTTAATTTGTTCTGCATGGCCTTCCATTTCATGAAAACTTTCTTAATTGTGACATGGTAATTAATAAAACAGCATTTAACCCTGTAACTCCAAAGATTTGATTACTAATTCTCCCTTCTAACTGCTGCACATTTCTGTATAAGTTAGTTCAAAGAATTTGTTGTTAGATCAAGATAACACCTCATACAAGCTACATTTAAGTACTGCCAGCACCTGTTTGCTGTACAACGTAATGACATTACAGGGAGAAGATACATGTTTATCACTTCTGGGAGTTTAAGGGTTAATAAAAAAAAACTTTGTCATCTCATGATATTTCTCCAAGGAAGCTTATGTGTAATCTCTTACTCCAGCACACATTCCAGTTTTCCTGACTTGCATTTGAACATATCAATGGTCAGCCCTTCATATACAACAGAGTCATTTCTCTTTTAATATCTACCCAAACAGTTTGACAAAGCATGGGTGACAGTATGGCTTGTCATTTTGTTCCTTGAAAGTACCTTTGTTGAGCTGCTTGAGGCAAAATGCACACACAAAGTGCTCGGGGTGAAATTTACGGTGCATAGCAGTGATGCATCGGCCTGTAATTGGCTTCTGACAACTGTAACACAGTGTGCCTCTGCGAGCATGGTAGTGCATCTCACAGTAAGGTCGGCCTTCATGCTCGAAGAAACTTCCACCTGGAAAAGCTTGATGACATTCCTGAGTGGAAAAGAGAAATTCCAAAATCTTGATTTATCTTTGCAACTAAGACTAAGTAAAAGACAACGAGATGTACCATAGATATCACACAATTCTCCTAACATTTTCTAAGGTGCTGACAAGGAGAATTTGTTTGACAATGAAGAGCTTCTCTCCTTAGAGATCATTTCTTTTATTCCTGTGACACTAATTTGAGATTCCAGGGGTGATTTTGTGAGGAAAAATTAGATGTTAGTCACTCCTGGGGTTCAAAAGGTTAAATAAGCCCCCTCTCCACCCTCCTGAGGGTTTCTGAAGAGTAGCAATACTATTGGGGGGGAGGGAGGATTATTAAAGGGGTGTATGAAGGAGTTTGTTAGAGAGGGTGGATTGTTGGTAATAAAGATTAGTACATTTTAAAATGAAACAGGGCTTGAGGGAGGGGGGGTATTTGGATGGAGGCATTTTGTACAAGAATGTTTTCATACTTGTAAGTCTTTCAGACTAGAGGAGTGATCCAATACATCCTGAAAACCAACCCAGTCCCTTACTGTAAGCATACCCATGCACAATAATCACACTGCAGGGGTGGTAGTGGGTGGATCTTTGTGCTTGTAATGTGTTGGCTATATGCTTGCAAACTTTTATATAAATGTCTTCTGTACTCCCAACTTCCCAAACGTCCTGCACACTAATCATAGCTACCCATCTCTGCCATATATTGCTCTGACTGGCATAACTTATTCCTAGTTTTCAGGGAGCAAATGGTGGTACAATAGTGGTACAAAATGGAAAGGGAAGAGGAACGTGGAGGGGGAGGGAGGGTGGTGGCATTGTGCTACTAAAACAGGCTGAACCTGGCAAAATAATTGGGATAACTTGAAACACCCAGCCATACTATCCAAAGGGGGGGGGGGGTAGGCAGAACTTACATACGGTGTTGTTTTTCTAAGAATAAAACACCAGCAAAGAACTAACCGAGCACACGAAGCATTCCGAGTGCCAATGGGCACTCAAAGCAGAAATGTAGCTATCAGCTATGGGCTGGCCACACCCTCCACATCGAGGCGCAAACAAAGCAAAGTAATCATCACGGCAATATGGCTTCCCATCTCTCTCATGGAAACCACTTTCACCAAATGCCCGTCCACAAGCTGCACACACAAAATGTTCTGGATGCCACGTCTGGTCTAGGGCTGTGACACATGACTGAAAAATAAAAATGCAGACAATTTGAAAATTCATTAGAACTCTGATGGGTAAACAATGTGGAGAAAAGGGCTTTTAACCCTTGACACCATAATGCCCAGATGCTTATTGTCCTCACTGTTCTCTACACAAGAACTTCTTGAGTCTGTGATCATTTCCTTTCTTCTCATCACTTTTCCATTTGATTCAGGGGTGATCATATGAGGAGAAATTAGCTGTGAGTCACTATTGCAGCTTTAACCCTTTACACCTTTACATCAGTAACCATACTCTCCATACTGTTCTCCACATATTTCCTCTCATACTGAAAAGGCGAATTTGTTTTACAATCAGAGCTTCTTAGTTTAGCAATCATATCCTTTATTCCCATGATCTTAATGCATGATTCAGCTGTATTACTGTTAGGAGAAATTAGACACTGATCGCTCTTAAGAGTTAAAAGGGTTAAGGGCTAAACCAAATGATACTCCTTGGTGCGATGAGTGTGTAGATATGAATATAGTCTCCCGCAATCATATTTTCCTAAAATCTTCTGCCCTCTTGATAGATAATGCATTGGAAATTATGGTGAGGTAAAAACTTACAAACTGGAGGAGGTAAAGTTGCCTTATGATTAGTGCACTCGCCTCTAGATTGAGTGGTCTGGGGTTTGAGCCCTGGCTGGTGGACATTGTGATGTGTTCCTAGGCAAGACACTTCACTATTACAGTGCCTCTCTTCACCCAGGTACTTAAATGGGTACCAGAAAATTTAATGCTGCAGGGGGGGGTACCCCTACAATGGACAAACATTCCCTCCAGGGTGGAGTAGAATACTCCTAGTCACTTTATGTTAAGGAAACTGGAGTTAAATGCCTGTCTGATTGGCCACTTTGCTCATAAACAGACTTTAAAAGCTACTAATATACCGGTTATTTCTGGGCATAAAAAAGATTGTAACAATCCCAACATTACTCTTTAAGTAACAATTAAATCAAATAAAGAATGAAGTCAGAACTTACATCTAGAATAGGCCCATTACAGTAAGCACATTTAGGCGCAAATTGCTCATGATAGTCTCTCTCACAGAAAGGCTTTCCATCTCGCTCAAAGAAGTTTGTAGCACCCAACGGCACCTCACAGGTAACACAAGTAAAGTGTTCCGGATGCCACGTGCGACCCAAGGCAGTGCAAACCTGACCTATGATTGGTTTGTTGCAAGCTGCACACATTCCTTTCTTTGTTGTACTCACTCCCTGTCTGGTCATGTCTGACTGAAGAGAACCCAGCATGGAATCCAGCTGGCTGACTTTACCAACAGCTGATAATGATAAGAACAACTAATATTAACAAATATCAGAACCTGACTAAATACACTGTTAATTGTATTAACCCTTTACATTCTTACATCAGTATCCCTATTCTCCATACTGTTCTCTATACATTTCCTAAGGGGCTGACAAAGAGAATTTCTTTAACAATCAAGAACTTCTTTATTTGTCTACCTCTTCCTTTATTCTTGTGACCTTTTGTTTGCAGGGCCCCCAAAAAATTCCAATGAGTGTGACTTCAAGCATGCACATCAGAGTGATAACATGCTTGGTAACAAAGGTTATTTTCAATACACCAATAAAGTACAAAATATATAAAAATCCCGTTTCAAACACCATAATCAGATGCAGGATTTCAAAGAAAAACTCATTTTCACAATTTGCAGGGCTTGACACTCACTTTTCAACTTACTAGCCAAGTGGCTCGTGAAATCTTAGATGCTACAACAATTTCAGGTTGTTTACAAATCAAACAGGCAAGTGGAAATTGAAAACCACAAGCCAAAACTGAATTTCTACTAGTCTGTGGCTAGTGGGGTACCGTTAGTGTCAAGCCCTGAATTTGTGCTAGAAACTTACACTTTCAACACCAAAAACAAAAGAAAAGTTTGACTTTGATTCATCTGCACTTATTTTCAAGGACTCTCCAGAAATTTTCAAGGACCCGAGTCTAAATTCGAGGGTTTTCAAGTCCTTGAAAACAAAAAATTACATTAAAGGAGGGCAGGAACCCTGTTTATTCTTGTGACCTTTTGATTAGTTCAAGGGTGACATTGTAAGGAGAAATTAGATGCTAATCACTTGTAGGGGCCAAAGAGTTTAAGACTGGTTTACACCCTACAAAAATGTGAGACAATTGACATTTCAATATAACATCTTGTCAAACCAGATTTTGTTGACTAATGAAAACTCAAAATTGTTGACATTCCTGATTAGTGATAAACATAATCTTCAATGAGGATGCCAACCTTACTAAACCTAGAGATTCACTGATGGGTTCCCTAGCCCTAGACTAGAACCAAGAGACAAAAAAAAGCTTGGTGGCAGTTTTGCCCTTATTAACTGCTCCTTAGAGATTCTGAGAACTCAGAATAGTCTTGGATTTTACTGACCCAGATAAACCCATTAAAAAATCCTTGAAAAACTTTCACACAAAAAAGCACTTGTGAGGTCATATATATCAGTATCTCAACAAATAGCTGAAAACTGACACATGTAAACATTTACAGAAAATGACTCGAAATACTTACATGGATGTTGCTGCTTTGATTTAGTTGGCTTTGCATAATCCCCACTGAGCCTGGCTTGCGATGGAGAGGGGGCTGAACTAACATTGACTTTAAAATCTGACAGTGACGCCATCAAGTCATCCAGCTCTTTGGTGGCTGTCGATGCTGTCCGTGATTGTCTGTTATCTAAGTCCCTAGTTTGCTGGACTTGGTTGTGTAAGGAAGCCGGGTTGTAAACATGAGAAGTTGTAATGGGGGCTTTGGGACTTTCTGGTCCATTTCTTTCTACATAACGCCCATTAACTGAAAAATAAAAATATGAAGCTGGTTAAACAGTGCAGAACCCTACAAGTTGCCTTAGGGAAAAATCTCTGACTTTGTTTAGAGCTATTTGACACACACCATGCATATACCTCAATCAACAGTTTAACAAATAATATGTATGGATATTTTGCCAGTTGAGTAATATTTTCCCAGGCCCTGTAGAGGCAAGGAAAATACAAGCAAAAAGCAAAATGTCAGCTCATAATATATCTTAAACCATCAAATAAGGGATTTAGTATTTCAGTATGATTTCATTTTCTTGTCTTTTGGTTTTATTTTTTGAAACTTTTGTAGGGCTTTATTTGAGCATCGTACTGTTTGCACAAGGCATGCATGAAAGAAGAAAACAGCACATAAGAAACCATATTTATTTAGTGTTCTCTATGACCAAAAAAAGAATTCTTATAGGCTTAGAAGTTCGTCGCTGAATAAATCACGTCTAAAAAATAGAAAAGAAGTCAAAGATTGCATGAATCATTTCTGTCCATATTTTTTACCTGTTCTATAGTATAACACTGTGGAATACTATGTATGTTCTATTGCCCTAATATGGTTAAATGATATAACAGTGGACAAATAAGTGTATTAATTTTTTATTCCCTTGTTCTTTTCACCTCAACGTGCCAAAATTTTACAGTGATACAAGTACAGCTACAATACACTTTACTACCTGGTCTATTGTCGTGGGTAGGTGACATCATAGGACCCTTGTAGCTGGCTGGTCGACCATTAATAGCTGGCTTTGGTGATGGTGATGTTGGACTGCCTCTAGGTGATCCAGCACTTATTCGCTTGGCTAAAAAGATAATGAAAAAGAAATAATTTTTTGAATGTACTTGAGAATCATGATGATATCTCATAGTAAAACCATATAATAAGAATATAACAAAAAAAACAAAAAATGTCTCATCTTTGTCTGCTATGAAGGTAAAGACAGAAGAGAGATGGAAACAACAAACCAAAATGATCCACATGTGTCTCCAAGTCCACAAATCCAACTGAACATTAACCATGTTTCATGTGAACATTAATCTCATTTTAACTCTGAACACTGTGTAATAAAAACCTGACAGCCACAATTTAGCTACACAACTGCTAAACATAGGTCTCCCACCAAATTGGCGACTTCCTCTGCAAATTTAAATGCCAAACTGCTTTTCAAATAAGCGAAATGACACATAATTGAGATGATTGTGACATAAAGCAAAATTTATGATAAAGGGTGGCCATTCAGTTTTTAAATTTCTGGTTCTATTTAAAAATAAATCATATGAAAAAAATGAAACATTCTTCATTGTCACACTAAAATACACAAAAACTTAATTGCAAAGATGGTAACAGATTTTGTAAGATTAAAATGAAAACTAGGTTTTGTGCAGCAGATAAGAGATATGACTATGGATCCAAACCATGATGATTTTAAATAATTCATTCATTTTAAACCAAGTTTGAAAAAAACATATACAAACAACTTAACTTCAGTTCTTGTTTTGGAAGAAAGGTCAGTGAAATATACTAAAATTGTACGTACAATTTGAGATTATTTTGTTACCTAAAACTACTGCCTGTAATAAAAACAAGCAGCTAATCTGTTTTCTTTTGCCAGGTGCCCTCCACTTAATAACATATGCAATAAAAATGTTTATTATCTAACAGGACTTGGGAAACCACAAGCACTTCCAAACAAAAGAATTGAAACAATAAAATTTGGACAGATCAATATATATTTTTAGCCCTTCTATATTGTTGTGTTTCTGTTATTTTAGTTTAAGCAACTCCAAATGATATGAATCGAAACAATGCCAGCAATGGAAGAAATTTAAGGATTCTAAGAGACAATTCTCTAGGCATGCTCACCCAACAACTCAAAATATTGAGATTATTATTTCATGTTCCCCATCAGGGGGTACATTTTTGTTTTCATCTAACAGATTTTTACATTTTAAACTCTAAATTAACCGAAAGAACTATAGCACGTTACACCCTAGTTATCAACATTTGATAACATTTTAGCAAACTATACAATTACAAGATTACATTAATTCCCTCTTTTGCCTCTTTCGATGATAATTTAAAACATGTTGAGAGTTCTTCCTCAGAACCAAATTTCTACACAAGAGAATTGCAAATATATATTCCTGTTCCTTATTTAGTCCATGAAATAACAAGCCAGGTTGAAAATTGCAAGAAATACGTTCATTTAAATGTACTAATAATGATCATCTTTGAAATAACATAGACCAGCTGCAAGGTGCAAAGGGAGAGAGAGGGAGAGAGAGAAAGCAAGCCTACTGACACGCGACAACAGCTGTGAATGGCAACTCTTTCAGCGATTATTGTTTACCTGTAGTGGAAAAGTCTGTCCAAAAATTGTAAGGTCCTTTATCATGGGCCGTACCACAATGATCAAGATGATGGAAAATATTTACACTGGGATAAAATTAGCAAACAACCATTCCTTCCTTCCTTCTGCTGTTGTATAATTAGCATTCGAAAGTTTGTTGCTTTTGTGAATACATTGTGGTCTCGCTTTCCTATTTACCTTTGTATTGTTCTATGAAAGTGAGAATAAAAGAAAGGGCTTTTTCGATCACTCGAAAATGACCAGAAATCAACCACAAGTAACACATATTGAATCAAAGGCAACATTCACGACCCATAGAGAATTATTTGACCTCGAATATTTCGCTAAATAATAATCGAAAAAGGAATGAATGAAAAAATCTCTACTTTCAAACTTGAGGCTCTGTAAATCAAGTCAATCGCAAATTTCGTTTGGACCTACCTGTAGGATCAGATGGATAAAGTATTGGGTTGCTTAGATTTTCCAATAAGCTGTCCAACTCGGAAAGATTTTGACCCAAACTCGATGAAGGGGCAGGTGGAGGAAACAGCATATCTTCCTTGGGAGCCGATCCATGAGGATCCAGAGCTTCAAAAGAGGGAGGAGGAGGTAAAGGTGGTGGGTTGTCGGGCGATTCTCGTCCATTCGATGTTTGTCTGCCTCTCGGTTCGGTCAGCGAGGCGGAAACAGTGGGACTTGTAGCCTGGAGATCCGCCAGTAGTGCATCTAAAAATTCAATATTCTGTTTCAGCTTCTCTTCTACTGAGGGTTTCCTCGTTTTTCCCGGCATATTAATTTTAACACGCAATTCTCGGCGTCAGATCCAGTTATAAGGTCCAAAGTTTTTCACTACGCTACTTTAAAAATTCATTCGCTATACCGCGTGTCGCAGAATGACATGTGTACCATGCTGTCGGATGTGTATGCCATAATTCGCCTCACCAAAGCACAATAAAAATGACACAAAGCGATATAAATTATTCAAAAGCAATATTGACAAGTGTTTTGAGACACGACAATTCCCGCATCGTACGCAGTAGATGCAATCCGGGGAGACTCCCGCTCGTCAAACCCGTTAGTGGAAACAAATACCAACAAAGGCGGGCGCTTCACGCTCAAAATGATTAAATATGCTGAATCACCGATGAAAAGAGGACGTCCAAGTGAGATCTATTCAAAAAAGTTTGGATAATATTGTAACCTCTTACCGTGAGGAATTGGAATCTCAAAGTTTATTTTCACAAAGAAATCGGATGAGATCGGAATGCAGATACGAAAGTTTTCTAGCGTCGGAACGAATTGAAAGTACGTGAGAGATGAACTTTGAAAGCGACTTGAACACAGCTGAATTTGCGCCAAACCAATCAAAGCATTACCAGAAGTTCCTATCACAAAATTAACATAATCTAAGTCATTGATTTACATAGATGCAAAAGTTCAAATCTCAAGTCAGATTTTGCAGTAAAATTTCACAGCATTTTGGTGATTGACTACCATCGCATTCCAATATAAGCTACCCTTGCAATAAAAATTCCTGTGCTGTTTACAAAGTATCACAAACAAGTAAACGAACAGGATTCCTTCGCAGGGTCTTCAAGATCAAAATAGCAAAGAAAAACAGGATTCTATTTCCCACTAGACGCCACAGCTTTCGCAAGAACCACAACAGATTAAGAAAGACCATCCATTAGCAAAAGTACTACTATTTACAGAAAATCACACATACCCAAGTCTTCCATAGCAACTTAGCCCAGTGAAACTCGTATATCCACTTAGTAGTAATTCACTAGACCCGTCAAACGATATATCGAACAAAATTTAAGAGTCACAAAGCTTCAACTCCCTCTTGGACATCACAATTCAGCTCAGTTCGTTCGGTGTCTGAAGCAGTCGTAACGTATCGGAATGCTTCGGAATGAGTCGGTCGTCTATTTTTGTCAATCATTCCGTCACCTTCGTGAATAGTTGGCATACCCTTCCACATTCCATTGACATATTTGGAAGCAAACGGAAGTAGGGTGGCACAAAGCGCCAGAGCGACTTCTGACGTAAAGATCACGCATCACGTAATAAGATTATTTTTTAATTGGCTAATTTTCATTCATCCATACTGCATGAGGGTTCCAGTAATGCGATTTTAGCTCACATAAACATAGCATAAATTTGTCACTAATTAGTTGCATTAAATGGCAGGCGATTAAGCGTTGCATTTGATTAAAGTTGAACACAAAAGGAGAGGCGAAAAATTTCGGGTTTGTAAAGTTGCCTTCCCCAATATTTATACACGTCGGACAGATTAAAAACAACGGAATTGCGTAATTGGAATTTGAATACTGAAACTCGCTTCAAAAGGGAAATTTGAGGCGATTAACTCTTGACCTACGGAGAGCGTTTTATGACCCGTGAAACGCGTTGCATGAAAACTGGAAATAACCAGTGGGAAAAACCTGAAGAACTTTACGATTCTATCTTGTTACTTGTTTGCTATTAAGTATCAGTAATGAAATGTACTTATTAATAAGAATAATCAAGGAACGTTCTTAAATGTTTTTGGTTCATAGGAGGTAGCATTTTGACAAGGCCCTTGACAGGATTTGATAATGTGACCTGTGATTAAGGACCAGATGACATGAAAAGCTGACTTTTCAAATCTGAAGGGCTCAACCTTTGCACTTTGCTAGTGATTAAAATTAAACATGCAATTCAAAAGGAAAAAAAAAAAGAGAGGAAAGATAAAAGGTAAAAACGAAATAGGAAAAAAAACTCTCCAGAAATCCAACTTGTTCTTTTGAAGGGGTGATCCCTTTTTTTAAATCTCAACAATGTCATAACTTTTGAATTGATGATAACGGTACGAAATCTTCAGAAAAAGTCAAGACATTTTAACTAAAAACTAAAAATTAAAACTAAAGACTAAAACGTAAACTAAACTAAAAGCAAAGACTTGGATGAAATATCATGAGTACTACCCTAAAGAATCCCCTGCTCTTTTGGAGAGATTTATCCCTTTCGTACCTAAAAATGTCACAATTTTTGAAATGTGTGAAGCTTAAATGAAAATTAAGGGTGGGTGGCTCCAATAGTGAGTCATATGTGAGTGCTCCTCCCAAACTGATCTTCAAAAATTTCAAAGATTTCAGACTAAGGAAAGAAGAGGATAGGCCAAATGGGGAACCTCCACACATGTAAGGAGGGTACACCTGAAGGCAACAGATGGGAAATGGAAAATGTCTCTACCTTTGTACATTAATATACAATCTCCTTTTTATACTAAAAAAAACCCAAGGATGTAAAGGAGATCATACCTTTATGGGCTTATTTCAAACTTCTTTATTTCTCAAGTGACTTCAAACATTTTCTTCCAGGCCTAGGAAATCCTGCACACCAAAGTCCATATCTGTAACATAGATGTACAACACTTGTGTCATTCCATCTAGTGGCCTCATGATTAGAACACTGGGTTCTACAGATCACAGTGCAGGATCATCAGTGTTGTACCCATGGACAAGAAAATGCTGCACATCTTGCTCTGTAGATAGTGCTGATACAAGTGTAAATAGGGTACAATTTTTTAAGCAACTATGTTGGGTTCCATTTTTGCACGAAGGGATGAAATAAGTCTTTCTCAGCATTCATACAAATTTCTGGTGTCTATCCATTTTGTATGTGCTAGATGCTGATAAGAAATGCTGACATCAAGCAGATGTGGTCTACTAAATCTCCTCTTCTGCCAATTCAAACAGGAGTCAGAGGGATGGTCTTCCAAAGCAGCAACTACAATGACCAGGTCAACAGATCAACTCAAACCTCTTGAACAAAAGTCCAGTGTGATAATCAGTGGGTCACTAATGGGGCAAGACACATAATGGTTCTTTACTTTCATTCCCTCTCTCCATGCAGAAGTATAAATGAATCAGTGGATTAGTTCCTATCAGCAGCTATTAGCTGCTTCAAGAGAATTTAAGGATCCATATTGAACTCCCATCTTCTTGCAGTAATGTAAAAAGGTTAAGGTGAGGTCTGCATTTGAGCAAAGTGGTCTATCATGTGGGAGCTTATACAATTTTGTCTTTTCAAGAAAAACAAGCAGCTTCTTTACTTTAAAGGTCCAGTGATTCTAACCCTCTTATTTTAGCCAAAACATCCTGTTTTTGGTGATTATTTACAGCCTTCCAAATTTCCTCAATTCTCTCCCATTTTTGGAAATTTTCCTCTTGCAAATGAAGGAAACAATTGGTCTCTGCTTTACTAGTCTTTTTAGTATGATCCTTTTCAGTTCCCTAATGGTATAACAGGATTTGTAAACATCATTTTTTAACCTTTACTTTCAGGGTACACTCCTAATCACGAGTCCTTTATTTTGAGGGCATAGTTATGTAATGTTTGTGCAAGGCTTGCCTTTGTTCATAATCTCAAACTGCTGGAAATGGCATCTTTAAGAGACCTTAATCCCAAGAAACCTCTCCACGGAAGGAACAAGAACCCCCAGCCACTCTTTAAGCTTAGAGCACCAAAGCTCTCTTAATTTAATTTTTGAGCATTGCAACCTTTGTAGTTCAAATATTACTTTTCAAAATTTGTTATCCATTAAAGTAGTTTTTGCATGGCTGCTCCTGTTATTGAAGATGCGTCACACATCCTTAATGTCAATACATAGCAATATTGGCAACAGAAAAGTGAGTCAATACACTAAATATTGCCTTCATTGATAAGTGACAAACATCAATATCTCTGGATGCAACTTATATTCTTCCTAACTGAATACCATAGCTTAGCTTTCAGTGTAGGAATTCAGATACAAGGCAAGTAAGATGATTGTCAAAGAGCTGAAATGCAGAGACGAGAAATGCTTCCTCTCCCTCTCTCTGACATGCGTCTGATTTCTTGCTCACAACTGCTATTTTACACCACTCATGTGCCATTAAAAAAGTGTGGCTTCTCAATAACGTTCTAGTCAAGGTTAACTGAAGAATATGATCCATCACATCAATGACTACACGTTCAAGGAGTTAAATACACTTCACAGTTTTGCTATAAAGGTTCATTAAAGAGACTTGTGCTTCAGTTCAAGCTACAAACTGTCCCATTAACATTGTTTATTTTGATCAGTTCAGACATAAATAATTTTTGCTTATCTTAATTTAAGAAGCAAATTTTAAGTGTCCTTACAATAATTTTCAGTATTTGAACAATAACATCCCCTTACCACCATCCTTGTTAGAATACTGCCCTATACATCCATGCCACAACTGAATGCTCCCCCTTGCCACAATATAATCAATGGCCAGTTTTAAATAAGAGAGAATAGATGAATACCAGTGGGATATAAACTATAGCTATTGCACTAATTATTTACTAGGTAAAAGAGATCTCAGCAATTGCACTTTTACATAAGAGGGTCAGCTATTGAAAGAAAAGTTAACTTTTTGAATAGAAATACATAGAACTGCCTTCTAACCTATCTCCAATAAAGCCAGCTGTTTTCTTTCAACATCGATTTTTTTGTGATCAGTGTCAGAAGGCTTAGAGCTAAAACTAGAAAAGATTAATTCAACTTACAATAACATACTTATTCTTAAGAAGAAAACTGGATGTCCATTGATCCCCTTAAACTGAAGCCTTAGTTAAAATTTCCTTTAATGGCTTGTCCATACCTTTTATCCCTCAACTATACTATAAATTCCTTGAGCAACTCAAATTCAAATTAACCAGTCCATATTTACCCTACATTCTAATCTCTTCTTATACTACCTTAGAACTGTCCAAGTCATTTTTTTGATAAAATTGTTCCACAACTTCTATATTTGCCTCCAAGAGATCAACACACTCTTTCATCTCCTTCAACACAGTTTCTTCATCTACTTTCCTGCGACCAAGCTTGTCTATGAAGTCTTTACGGTAGGGCACAGCCTTCATGGCAAGCTACAGGTAGAAAAGAAAAAAAACAATATATTGTTTTACTTTAATTTAATATATGAATAGGAAATGAGATAGGAAGTTGCAACTAAGCAGGAAAACGTCTGATCTCTCTCTTAACAGTGTCAGATTTGCCACTATCTAAAATTAGACAGTAATTACAGCAGTTGAAAGCTGCACTGTATCAAAACCTCATGGAAAGAAGGCTTGGATTCCAAAACAGTAACAAAACAGACTTTCCTCTTTCTTTTTTTCAGTTAAACGCTATTAAAATAAAGAGGTAAATTTTTAAAACTTTATTGGCAGGTGGACAGTAGCAAGAACATTACAAAGAAACATATGCTTGCATATCATAACACCTTCACTGTATTTTTAGAAAAATTAAACTTTAAATTTTGAATCACTCCTCTTAGTGGGTTAAATTGCAGATCCTTCTGTTATTGTTTGGACAGAAATGAACTGCACAACTCATTTTAACCAATATTAAAAAGAACAGAAAGCAAGATAAACAATCACTTAATAATATAGACTACACAGCAAGTAACAACTCTCTTAGGTGCAAACATAACGTGCTTAGTGATACGAGCCAGCACTTATCACTTCAAAAACTGTACTTAATTATTCCAAGAAAAAGGTACTGTAACTATTTCTAATTCTTCTCAGTAGCAGGGTTGGAGGACTTGGACTGTTAAAAGAGATTAGAGTCAATTTGGATGGGAATCTGCATGAATTTCAAGCTGGGACCAACATCAGTGTGACACAGTGAGCTTACTGAGCTGGTGTCGATCTCTTCCTGTTCAATCCATTCCCAACTAGGGTGCTGTCTGAGGTTTGACCTGTGAAATTTCACACCCCTCACGTAGCCATTCAGAGAATGAACCATTCAGTGCATCCTATTACTTACAACTTGTTTTGTTCATTTCTACACAGTTCAACCAATCAGAGACCATCTCCTGATCTCCAAGGCCCTACGTCATCAAATTGGAATGCACAATGTCTAACCACAAACATTTCTTCAAGGTAAAATGTAAATTTACAGAAAGAAAGGCCTTTGTTGTATACACTCAGTAAAGTGGAGAACAGTGCTTGTAGCAATACCAGGAGGTTGAGCAGTGAATAGCTACTAAGCTTGGCTACAAATTCTGGTTTACAACCCTCATTCAGACCCACAGGGGTAGTCTAAGATAGCTCTGGAAAGATCTTCACTGAGAGAGAGAGTGCCTGAAGTTTAATATCAACACTGTGTGGGCTTCAAGCTTGCTCCTTGTTGTTGTTGTCTCCCATGCAATGAGTCAAATGATGTTTCCAAGTGAATACAACACAAATGAGGACCCTTGCAAGGTGAGCTTTTTTGTGCTCAAGTTGAGAAGTTGTAAGGAATCAAGGATCTACACATGGATAAACATCTCCAAGAGAAGTGGTGGATCACGTTGTGGCAGGATGTAGGCCTTGAACTTGGGCCCTCAAGATTAAGAGACACTGCTTGAACAAACTGTTGTACCTTATCCTCAACATCATCTTTTAATAGACAGGTAAGACACTATCAATGATATAAAGCCAAATTACAAAATCCTGATTCCAAACCTCAAACAACAACCACATGGAAATCTAATCACTTTCAAATACTGTGGCATCTATAGTAGATTACATAACAAAATTTGAAAGCTTGTTTTGGCAGGCAACATTTCTGCCTTCTCGGTGGAGGAAGCTGCCACTGAAACTATTTTTAGGAATCTAAAAAAAGCTGACCTTCTTCGTGATCCTAATGTCAAAAAACCATGTTTTTATACATGTAACTTACTGAGAAAACTCCCTGAACCATCCACCCATGATATCTTTTCAAAGAGTTCTCATATGCCTTTTTGGCACACTTCACAAGATCTTCCTCATCAGTGAGAACCTCTCTCAGAAAAACTATGATAAATTGGAGTGCCCTGTGGAGAAACATATGGGGAAGTAAATGTTTCAGTGTTCAGAATTTCACCATGAAATAACAATTTCAATAACATTGTTTACTTTCAGTGCTGACAAGCACATGTACCTTGCATACTTATAAATAATGACTAAAGCATTGTAAAAATAGCTCAGGAAGATAAAACTATGAAAGTGTGCTCCTTTGCGGGACTTTTCTTTTCTTATTCTGGTTTAAGCCTGTTTCACATCACCTATATTAAGAAAATCTGTTCGTCAAGGCCGAAGTGGCGCACCCTTTCTTGTTACGCATGAGAAACTGGTTCACAGGCATGACATGGTATGAGATGCAAGTTTTTAATCTGCAGGTATAATAGTCATGCCAAAAGGAAGAGTTAGCATGTAAACTTTTCAGAAACGATTATTTTCATTTTCCAGACTTGAAGTTTGACCTTGAGTAAAATCACAGGGCCTTGGCAGATGAGAAAGTGTCAGAGGGTTTGCCTTGACAATGAAAATTCTTTATCCTCATAAAAGGTTTTAAACAATAAATTTGATATGAGATTCAGTTTCCTTCAGAGTATTTCACCCAGCAATCAGGCACTTGTTGTTGCTAGAAAAATATTTAAGCTTCTTTCCTGTATTCCAAGACTTTTTTTTAATACTTTTGAATGGTTGAGAATGAGTTTGCACACTACAACAATTCTTATAAAAATACAGTACCCTTCATCTCCCTGATGTGTTGTGCAGATAGTTTTGAAGTTGACAACCTTTTGAAAAAACCAACCTTTTCAACCATAACAAGGCATCAGTGGCTGAGTTTTTTACTTTGGTAGAGTTTTCTACAATTTCACTTTCTACAATGTCTTGTAAAGTTTTAAACTTTTCTGGGTCTTTGGCAAACTTTTCTCGTAGTTTCTGAAAGGAGAAAGGATGAGAGATGACTTGGTATGCTTTTTTGAAAAAAGAAGAGCAACAATGCTTGAAATTCACATTTAGGCTAAATGCATTCACTGGTTTCAAACTTTTTAGTAAAAGCTTTTGGCCTCCGGTCTGAAACCTCAATACTAACAAAGTTGGACTCAGTGGAGTCTGAATCATGAGGTCCACAGTCAAGCAAAGCCCTGTTTATTGTGTTGTGTTCTAATCAAGACACTTTACCCTTCAAGTGCCTCTCTCTATCCAGGAGTATACATTGGTTCCAATGAGCTATCAGGAAAGCTCAATGAAGGGAGGTACCCTCTGATGGACCCTTGGATCCCCATATCCCAGGGAAAAGGGTTGTCACTAAGTGCCACCTGCCGATGAAATTCACTGGATGAAAAAGGGACTATCGCCAGCTGGATTTTTGGCCAGCTATCCCTTGGTGAAGTACCAAGGGGGACTTCTGAGGTTGCACACTGAGGTTACACACTTACAATCGTTCATTACCTTTGAGCCACATTACTTGAAATTTCAGGCAGCAGCGTAATTTCTTAGATACAACCCTGAGGGAGGGTACCCATAGCCCTTATCATTTAACTCTTTGTACACCCTGACATGCTCCAATATTCACTATACTCTTGACTATACGTTTCCTAAAATTAATGGTACTAACGAGTAGAATTTGTTTAACAGTCAAAGCTTCTTCCACTGATGATCATTTCCTTTACTCTCGTGATCTCAATAAATGATTCAGCTGTGTTATTGTAAGGAGAAATTTGATGCTGGTCTCTCTTCGGGTTTGAAGAGGTTATACCATGGAAAACAGAGTAAGCTCTAGGAGTATGAGCCAACCTGCTCTAACACAGACTTCATGTTTTCTGCCAAATAACCAGCAAGTGGGTCAATACAAGTAAACAGGTTTTTCTCACAGCTTCTGAAAGCCACAACTACTTGGTTCCTAAGCTATAAGGAATTACAATGAATTCAAAAAATATCTCAAAAGGACACCTTTTAGTTCCAATGCTGGTAAATGTTGTTCACCTGTGAAAAATTAACAAGTGTCCACTGAACAAAGCCCAGGTGGACAGTGTAGAGATGCTGTTTTGGTGAGGGTTATACCCAATCATAAAATAAAATAATCATAAAATAACAAAAAGTACATGTTTAAAAAGCCATCAGAGTTATCTTACTTTTATGTTACCATTGATGTCTGATTTGACTGGAGCAAATGCTGTTGGTCCTAACACATCTGAAAAGGAAACAATAGTTTTTATATCTCACAAACAGTGTTCCCCCTTATTTCAACTCTTTAACTCCCAAGGTCCGATTGTTAATCCTCCCCTCTGGCTGTTAACCATTCCCTTGTAAATTGGTTATGAGAATTTAGTATTACATCAAGATAACAACTTCTGCCTGATAAGTTTGAGTATTTTCGTTACCTGTTTTCGGGACAGTGTATGGATATTGCGGGGAGAAGTTACAGGTTGATCACTTCTGGAAATTGAAGGGTTATGCAAGACAGGTAATAGAAATTTTCAAGCTGGTGGAGCGATCCTTTCGACTTACTGAATTTTAAAGAATTACAAGCAATTTTTACGCAGTAATAAGGGGTACTACAGGCAGTAAATTTTATCAGTTAACACCTGGAAAGAACAATGCACATACACCTGCCATTTACCTCCATCTCAACATGATTGTTGTTGGATGACTAATGATCTTGCGACCTTGCACAAATTGAAATGCATCTCTTAAAGGAAAGATTTTCAGCCAGAGAATCCCTTGCTCATTGATGACACTGTTTTGGTAACCTTTTCATTTCCAAGATCTCAGATTCCCTAGTTCACATTTTTCTCTATTTTTATAATCCAAGTGAAATCGCAGCCAGACATGATGCTTGTTCATGTCTGCAAAATTATTCAACTGAACAAAAACTATACCCAAACTAAACATTCAGGCAAAAAAAATTACTACTTTTCCTCTCTATCAAAAGAAGAAATACAGACCTCTCAGGCAAACTGATTCAGAAATACATAGAGAACTAAGAAACAGCTCAAAACTGTTAGGTTTGTTCCTCAATGTATTGGTAAAACATTTACTTCTAAGAGAGAGCATGCAGTGTTTCTGTTTTCATCCTAAAGACTTTTAACAAAACACTTCATGTCAGACTGTTTCTTAGAGAATAAGCCTTTTTTTTCATTGGAACTCTTAAAGTCAGTGAATCATGTGATGGATTAGTGTTCCTACTAAGCCAAACCTTTTTTATGCCATTTTTCAAGGATCTTTCACTCACAGCATCAAGAGTAAAATGTATCCAAGAATAAAATATCAAAGAATATCTGATAGAGCCGTCCCAAGGCACATGAAGGATATTAGTATAACCTTCTAGTTTTCCACGTATTTTTGAAGCATTACACATACGCCTTGAATGCAGGATACCTGTATAATGTACAGGTGATATTACAGTGTAATATTATATCCTGGATCTTAAAAGCTTAGCCAATAACTATTTATAACTTAAAGGGTGGACAAATCAGGAAGTTATTATAATAGTATTTCCTTTAAAGTGGCATTTTAAGAATTATAAATCAGTGTATCCTAAAAAAAAAAAAAAAAGGTGGATAAGCTTTTTCAAACTTTTCTTGATTATAATTAGGTTTTCTTTTTTTTTTTTTAGTTTAGAAGTCATGGATTCAACAATTCAACATTTCGTCATTGGCAGGCTCACCAAAACTCATTATTAGGTTATGTTAAATGACTGTCATCACTTCGTGATACCTTTAGCATCAAGTTTGAAACTCAGGAAGCTATCACTGTAAATACGATAACGACAGATTCAAAAAACACAACAAATATAGGCACAGATTCTCATACATGAATGTATGTGACTTACTAGTGACAGTTGAATAAACAAGAAGAACTCCTCTTTTGAGAAGTTAGAATACTTCCGCAAAGAAATTGAATTTTCTGTGATCAATTGGCATTTGCTGTTGAGATTACGTTACACTAAGGACTTCTTTCTTGTTTAAGTCAAAAGGTCAAATGTCCAAAATTTACAGTCACGTGCTTGATATGGTCGAACCTTAATTATCCAGACTCGCGGGGACTGGGTTTAGAAGTTCCGATAATCAAGAGTCTGGATAGTGAAAATATCATTATAAATGTTCAAAGATGATGGAACTAGAGAAGCACGTCCAGATAATCAAAAAGTCAGGATAATCAAAAAATTTGGATGAATCAATGTCCAGATAATCAAGGTTTGACTATACTGCTTCACTAACCGGTCAAATGCACAGCAATCAAATATGCACCTCAAGTGTAAGAATCAAACCCACTATTGCAGCATGCCTCCCTGTCCCACAACCATTGACACTACCTTTTTCTACCTCAGTTAATAAACATACTTATAAGATCACTTAATTAGCACACAACTTACCTGTTTGCATGAAAAAATCATCCATAAATGATTGAATTTTGAAAGCAATGATATCATTTGATTGAACATTTAATTAGCTAGTGTACATCACAAAAAAATTCATATTTACTACACAAAAAAAGCCTGATGTTCAAAGTCTGGTCATCCACTTTTTTCCTTCAGTTTTTCCTCCTTAAAATTTATCACTAATTACCATGCAATCCAATTCACATAAAATATCACTTTCCACACCATTTTCCCTTCCCAAACTTCTCCCTTGAAGATCACGTGGGTGTCCTTGTTGTTGCGATTGATGTAATGAAGTGGATTGTGCAATTAAAATGCAAGACACACAAAAATGCATTGTTGACATGCTGAGACAGTCAACCACGCCTCTTTTGCAAACTGGTAAATCCACATTCCGATCATCAAATTCTCAACCACTGTACAAGATCCATTATGATTTGCCATCCAAGAGCACAAATATAATTTCCTCTAGCCAAAATTTTAACTCACCTTTCATTTGTAGATCATGAGCAATTTCATACTGCAATTGATGGCATATGGATTGCACAATTTCACCAAAATGCATTATTGCCAAGACAAGATGGCACTCTATTCATCTTTTGCAGACTAGCAAATTCACAGACCTATCTCCAAAAATTATGTTGTTAAATGTAATCCAAGAAGTCTTCACATAAGGACTGCTGTTGTAAAACTTGTGGCAGACCAATCGAGAGCAAAATACAACATTTTTGTGCACTGCAATGGAACTGTGCAATGTGGCATACTAATCTATTCTTTAGCCCTCAATCTTTTCCCTTACCGCTCCCAGCTTTTTTCAGCTCTCACTGTGACTAATATTTGTCAGAGCTTATCAACGTCTCGCCGACACAGATATCTCGAATTCGATCAGTCATATTGCAAGTGTCTGTCTAACGGCATAAATCAAAAATGCATTTAGGCAACATATTTTTTAGGCAACATAAATTTTCTCTAGTCAATTTCAATTTATTTCCACTCTAACTTTTTCCGAATGGTTCTGCATTGTTATTCATCAAGCTCATGCATTAATAGTTTACGAATTTATAATAACAGTGAGGAAAACAACGTGAAGTTTCAGAGCTGAAGTGTCAGCTTGCGTTCTAGACAGCAGGTCGCAGCTTGTTTTTTTTTAAGGGATCCCACAAAATTCTAAATTAACTGTTGTAATGACGAGCGCGCCAAACTTAACATAACGGATTGTATACACAAATGAACTCTCGAGTAAATCAGTTCTTGAAATCTTGGCGAAATCATGGTACATAATTTGACACGTAAGCATTCGTAATTACGCGGTCTTCTAAACATAATTTAGATTTTCAATGCATGAGCTATTCATTCGAATATGTTCATAGCGAATTTTACCTTAGAAAGGAAGGTGCTTACCGAAAAAAGGAACTACTTCACTTGCTGCATCTAAGAATGATTTTGTTTCAATTCTTTTATCCTCAGGAACTGGTAAAAACCCGTGTTCTGCTTCGGTAAAGAACGACATAGTTTTTTCTAGCGTGCTTGAAAGTTCAGTTTTGATAACTAAGCGCCGGCGAAGGTCGTCTTTTGGTACTGGCTGGGGTGGCCTGGAGAAAAAACTAAGACCGGTTACTTTTAATTTCATCCTAAAACACTCGCACTACATAAAATTTTCGCTTGCAAGGTATTAAAATGTTGAAAAAATCTTAAATTCTAGAAAAAAAATTGCACTTTGGACAGTTACGTGACATTTTTTAAGTCGATACGTGTTACTTACCTCACCTCCACAGAGAAATTTTGTCACGTCATTCATGAAGACCGAGAAATAAAGATCTCTGGGAAATGTTTTGTTCAGTTTTTATTCTAATATGGCGTCTGAGTTATCACGTATTCAAGTCCGGCAAAATGAGGTAAATGATACAAGCTTTTTTCGATTTGTTACAAGGAGAAATAGTGAAACGGCTCTACCAACGATAACAGATTTTGAGTGAAAGGAAATGGAATAACCAGTTCCAAGTTGTGACGAGAGTCACGTTTTCATTCACCTTGACAAGAATGTGTGAATCAATTGTCAATGATTATAACGTGTTCGTATTTTTTTACCCAATGTTTTCCCGGAATTAGGGGCTTGATTTTGAGGATAAAATTGTTTAAGATGAGGAGGAATTTTTTTTTATCATTTGATGATCGAATGTTACTGTAATTTACAACAGTTTTGAAAATTTGTTGAAGATCATTTACTCTCGAATTTAGTGGTTTAGAGCGCGTGGTTTGGTGATGTTTCGTTATAAATATTCTCTTCATTCAAACATTTCGAAAAAGGAGCTTTAAGAGTAGAATACGAAAGAGAAATTCTCAAACAAAATAAAACCGTACTTGATTCCTACTTTCATTTTTAGTAAAGTAATTTTTGATAAATGAGAACCAATGAACTTATTACTGTTGTGACTCACAATGAAGTTTTTGAGCATACATGTAGATGTTGTTCGTAAACGTGATATGTAGATCTTATATTTACTACGAGCTTGGAAGAAAATGTCCTACATCACTTAGTTGTTAAAAATACTAAATCCTAAGTAAGTTTTTCTTGACAACTCTAGATTTGTCTCAGTATTCTGTTTTAGGCTGGTTTAAACTACAGTGCTTCACACCCTAGTAGCTCAGAAGTGTACTCTGAACCGACGTAGAATTTTCATGTCTGGAATTTTCGAATTGATTGAATTTATACTTGTCGTCAAGGTTTCTTGCTGAAAGACTTTACAGGTGTACCATCTGAAGTGTTTTTAATTGTTGAATTCAACATCAAGTGATGTACAGAGGGTTGTTCTATGATATTTTACTGTATAGTCATTACATCATCATTGTTTTCTAGACTGTTTCAAAAATCAAAGACCTTTGTAGCTTATTTCTTATCTATGGTAGATCTCAGCTCTTCGTCGGGAAAGTAGAGGGATAAATACCTGGCATTGCAGAATGGATTAGACTTGCTTATTTTGATGATGAAGTTAATATTTTGTGATTACAGTAAAATATGCAATGTAGTTCACATTTTTTTTAAATTTAATATTTGCAATGGAAAAGGATGTTTACCAAATGTGAATGGCGTGCATTGAGGCGTGATCAACTGTAAACTGCAGGACTTCGTCTTGACTAGCGTAGTGAATCTTTTTGTTTTATTATCTACCAAAACAAGTTGACCTGAAATATGTAATTACTGTACATGATACTGAATATTTTGTTAGTTACAGTATAATGGTGTATTACGTTTCAACTCCTGCCTCAATCAGTTCAATTATGGCACATGGTAATGATGCCCTCTAGACTATCCCCCTGCTGTTCTGCACTACCCATTTAAAGCAAAATTATTTTATTGAAGCCACTGAGTTTTCAATCATTTTCCCTTCCAATGCAACAGTTTTCTACCTTCCCCAGGGGTTTTGATAACAGTTGGCAACTGGCAAAATTCATTGTCTTTGTCAAGGAAAATCGGGGCCAATTTTCTTTGAACAACATTTTAGCTAATAGCTTCTATTAACCTCCTACTTCGCAGGTTTTGCTGTCTGCTTTGAGACTTATTGAAACCCATGCTTCTCTGTCTGTGTGTGCTCTGTCATAAACCACCAACAATGTGACACTGTTGAATTACAATCCATTATTTTGTGTGTTCTCTTGACCAGAATTGGGAAACCATGATAACTGTATTGTGAGTAGCAATTTTAAGTGGCAAAAGATCTTTACAAGATACAACTTGGACTCATTTGAAACAATTTTTCTTTTGCTTCCAGGTTTTACTTTTCAAGAATGGCCAACCAATCCTTAGAGTTGAACGTGGAACGACCTTGAGTGTAATTAAATTGCTTTACCAAGCTGATCCCAGCAATAAGGGAACAGTGATTGCATTAAAGCCTGATACAGATGATCCACTGCCCTGTGTGTTGACATTAGACCAATCTCCTCTGGAAGAAGCAAAATATGAAATAATCACTCATGGTAAATGTACTTAAACATTTAACTTCCAAGATCTAATTTTTAATTCTTACCTCTAGCTGCTACACACTTCCTTGTTAATTGATTATGAGAATTTGGAGTTAGATCGGGAAAACAACTTCTACCTGATAAGTTTGAATATTCTCATTACTTGTTGGCTGGATAATGTATGGATATGATACGGAGAAGTTTCATGTTAATCACTTCTGGGAGTTAAAGTGTTAAATATTTAATTGTAGTCACATGAGTTTGTATTAGAGGAAGATAACACGTATCTGGGTGGCACAAATTACTTTTAAAGATAACAGTATTTAGGAACAGTATACCCTAGGTTGACAGAAATTGAACATCAACAATACTACTGTACACTGGGAGATCATTTTCTCTCAAGAATATGTTGCGTGTAAACTTGTGCTTTTCAGCAAACAGAACCTGAAGGAAGGTGTTTGATTTTAGCATGATTGGCATTTTGTGGTCATGAGATTTATGGTGTTTTCAAATGCGTACTCAGTTTCAAAATTTAAAATTGGGTGGAGACAAAATGCAAAAACTCTTGTCTGTAGCAAATTTTGGATTTGGTAATCAAGTATGCATTTGATAACAGGAAAATACTTAATAACCAGAATGAGTCCATCACATTGAAATCAAACAACTTCCTTTTGAGTTCCTTTTGCAGGAGAGCAGAAGTTTGCTAACATTTATTATCTTTCAGAGAAAATGATCCCCTGTCTTAGTATTGTTTATATTTATTTTCCCATCCTTCATGGACAGTAAAATCTAAGCCATTCCTCATCTCCATAATCAGTGTGTAAACTTAAATATTTTGGTGGACATCTGCATGAATAGACTGATGTAATTTTTGTGTATGTATTTGAAAACACCAAAATAATTGATGACCACAAAGGGTCAATCATGTTGAAATCGAAAATCCTCCTTTAAGTTCCATTTGCAGGAGAGCATAAGTTTGCATGTCATTTTAATTTATGAGAGAAAATGATCCCCCTTTGTATTTTTCTATTTTCATTTTTTGTCCTGCGTGGTGGTTATAAACTTACCTGTTCTCTCTCTTCTCAACTTGATTACTGTCCAAAAATTAGATATTTTGGTGGGCTTCACTTTTGAAGTTAGGCTATTAAGCAAACGTTATTGACAAAACTGATAACAAAGTTTTGGAAAATAAAGACACATTTTTAAGTTGTTTTCTTTTTAAGAGAAATATTACAGTGAAATCTTTGTTAACCTTCGACTCCCAGAAGTGATTAACATATAATTTCTCCCCATAAGAATCCAAACATTACCATCAAACAGGCAATGAGAATACTCAAACTTATCACATACTAGAAGCTGTTATCTTGATCTAACTCCTAATCCTCGTAACTAATTCACTAGGAAATGTGTAGAAGCTAGAGGGAGAATTAACAATTGGGTCTTGGGAGTTAAAGAGTAAATAAGCTGGTAAATTCTGTATATGTTTGACTCTGTAATACCAAAATGTTACAGGAGATCTGTGATATAGCATATTTTGAAGTTTCTGTTGTGAGGAGCCAACGTCAACTGTTTAAGGGCTACATTTCTACTTAAGGTGGCTTGTACTAGTTTCCTCGCACGGGGAACAGATAACTCTTGTGTCACGCACGAGAGAAACATGCGAAAGATCCGCGAGATTAACCCATTAATGGCCGCAGCTTTTGTGGAAAACTGTGTTTTGAAGCTAGTCGAGCAGATTTCGGGTCACTGTTGTGGTTTTAAAAGCTCGAACTTACCAAAAACCCCTTAACAGCTCGTACACTCAACTGCCTTTCGATCCAAATGCAAAATGGCGGCCTGAAAATCTCGGGCATGCACAGAAAGCAAAATTTGGAGATAGTTTTTGGGTTGAAAAGTAATGCCCCACTTACAACTTTTACTTTTCTCTCTTTCTCCTGCCCGTTGTTTCCCCTCTCCTTGCCTGAAGTTTCTCCACACTTGCTGGAAATTTAGTAGGCTTCATTTTGGTTTAGAGATTTTTTAGGAAACTACTCATTATTTTCAAAGCACATGCTCAGAAAGGTAGGTGGGTAATGGAACAAGATTTTCATGCAGATTTTCAGGTCAAAGTTACATGGTTTTTTGGCTATTTCTCCAATCTCCTTCACTCAATTGCGCTCATTCTGGTATCATTTGTGAGATGTTTTCAACCTGTTCAAGTACATGCTCAAAGTCGTGCTCCAGGGTTACAAGTGATGACATCACAAGGCATAGAAAGGGTGTGGGTCCCCATGGGCGCATATGGGTGCACTGGACGTCAATAGGTTAAAAGACAAAAATTTAAAACAAAAATGGCGGCACGAGGATTTTTTCCACTTTTGTGATGGGTTCACCTAAGAGTGTGTATTTGATGTGTTGAGTGGCCACTGTGAATGCAGGAGATAGAAACTAAGATAAAGAAGACGATTTGGGAGAAGTAAAGGTTGCTTTACTTCACATCTAAAAGAAATATTCAACCGATATAAAATCTTGCAACGGCGAAAAAAGAAGAACTCAAGTGAAGGATAATCTACCTGAAGTGGAAGAAGACTTTGAAACTTAAAGGAAAGAATATGATATAGCCAGAAGTCGTGTGTAGGATTTTTAAGATGAGCCCAGGAGGCTGTCTTTGACAGCTGTTTAATGATTTTCTTAGCAGTAAACGTCTGTAAACATCAGATCGTAGGTGCTCGCGCAAGCACACGCAATTGTCAGCGGTAGCTATAACAGATCATNTCACGGGTTTATTACGAATCAACTTAACGGCCTGCTCCCAGTTGGCTTGTTAGCTCAATTGGTAGAGCGCTGCACTAGTATCGCAGAGGTCAGTAGTTCGAATCCCGTACAGGCCTGATTTTTTTCAGGTCTGATTTTCGCTATTGCTTAAATAGCACTATCTACTGCGAGGATCGTGCATCATACGAAGTTTTTTTACATAAAGGTTTTTAACACATTCTGGACAATCACTAAGTCAGCCTAACAGAGGTTACTGGTGAAGTCACTTAACGTTACGCGTTCCGCTCGCAACATTTCGGTAAAGGAACATAATGATCGGAACGTTAAAAAAAAACTTCTCTCCTTAGAGGTGTCACGCAACACATCTGATGTCATGCAACATGACAAAAACCGCCATTTACAACAACACCATGACACCTTTCTTGTTGGGACGGAGCAATGCGTGACAATCCCAAATATTAAGCGTTTGCAAAAGATACCTCATCCTTGGAAGTAACGACACGAAATAGCAAGCTTGTTGAACACACGAGTCAGCGTTGGCAAAAAGTACCTTTGTAGTGTTTTAAAATTCATACATAAATATTAGAAAAATGTTGGCCAAATGTTGAAAGTGACGAGCCATCTAAAGTGTGCAATACAAAGAGCGTAAACATTTGATAAGTTTGATATTGCATGTACTACTTTATTAAGTCGTATGATGAGATTCATCGACTTATCAGGTAGACTAGTTGAATATTAAAACATTTCACCTAACATGGGCGTCAGTGTCACTCAATGCGACATCAGAAATATGATCATAAAGCATGATAGGTGTCTTCTCATCAGATGAGCGACCAGCGGTGTAGTCAGCTTTTCGACTTGTTGTAGGCGTGCTTCCTGAGAAATTTCAATTTTTTGTTTCAACATTTGCAAGAATCAAATGACAAAAATCGAGCGAGCGAAAAAAAAGGCGTAGGCCTAGGCCCAGGCTCACGGGTGTGTAAGCTGGCTACGCCCCTGGCAACCAAAGCAGTTTTACTTACTTCAATCATGCTTAATTAAATAACGTGTGGCCAGTAACAGTAAATCAAATCCTCAAGCAGCTTCTAGTTAGGTATACCTTAGCCTTGTTGAAAAAAGAAAGCTATCATGATCAAGGGAACGTAAAATTGTTTTTTTGTCGATGCAAGTAATTATCGGAACATAGAAAAAATGCCTATCGGAATATAGCAAAATCTGACGGTAACATAATTGGTATGCCATTCCCCTGCTTCTCAACTCTTGAGCAATTCACGGGTAAATAACCTCGTATTTTAACTTACGTCGGTATTTTCATAATACATTACTTTTGTTTTCATTTAAAATCCACCGTCAGTATCTAGATCTAATATCTACGTTTCCTTTTTACAACTTTTTTTGTATTTTTTTGATACCATCAATCAGAAAATAAATCATAGCCACTGCGTCCCAGCGGATTTACGTCCATCTATATATTAAAATAATTTTTATAATCTTTTCCTGTTTGTGGGCTCCGCCATCTAGACAACCAAAAGCCAGGAGGAATCTATCAGTTTGCGTTTGCGTACAAAAAATACCATTCTCACGCATGTTTTCTATTTCTACTGTTCTCTTAGAAGTTACGGGGGAGGCTATTTAGAATCCTATGTGGAGTGCTCCTCATCACGTGAGAATCATATGGTCATATTTGAAGCCTCTACCCTATTCCCCCTCGACCACCGCTAAGTGATGTCCTCTATATAAGAACAAGTGTAAGTGACCAAAGTCTTTATAAAAGGTGGATAACTGGATTTATACACCCGTTTGAGGCTCACAATGCATACATTTGTCCCATCCACTTGTCCAAGATTCGCTTGGCAGTGCTTGTTGAAATCGTCCACGGTGGAAGTATCCCCAGGGATCCCGAACGCTCGGACGCGAATGACCGTTATGGTTCCGAGACACTGGAGAGAGATGTCGTCATTACCTGTCCCTTCCGCTGGAAGAAAATTTTCAAATTACCATATTGTACGTTATGACGTTGAGATGTTAAGTCATGGAACGCCAATTTTTCTGAATGAAAAGACATTTAACTCTTTCAATGCCCTTTCCCATGAAAGAATATATGCAAACTAACAAGCTTCTTCGTGAATGGCAAAGAGTAGAGAAACCTTGCCCCGGGCATGAGAAGATGTGCCCATGGTCAGCTCGGATTCTCTTCGCCGCGAGTAAAGACTTTGTAGCTCTATTACAGGCGGCATATTTTGAAATATGTGTGCGGCGGGTGGAAGCGGGAAGGGGGGCTCACTATTGCACACCAAGCCAATTGCATACCCCTATTCTGTTTTCCCGATTGTCATTAGGGAAGTTCTTTGGCACAGGTAAACCTCTTTGGGATCTGTAGTCTATCTGAGGTAATTCATGGGCAGGCGTTATTCAGAAAAGTACATACTATTTCACCAAGCATGATGCTGATAAAAAGGTTTCTGAAAAGATCACAAGGTTGAATATTTTCCCAAGACAATTTCACGTTGGGCTAGTGATGTTTTCCACACTGAGCCACGAAACTGAAAGGGGGAGGGGGACTATCCCCTGCAAATTTTCGTTCGGGGGTCTACCCTACCCCCTGCCCCCCTCCCCTTGCTACGTCACTTATGTCTATACTTTTTCGTTATCAGCGAGAAGAAACCTGCGGGACCAAAAAAATGAAAGCTCACCCTTTTTCTCTGTCGTCACCACTCTTGTGGGTCGGGGTGTCGTGATAGCAGTTGAGTTACTTCTTACTTTGGTGAGGTTTACATCTGCCACAAATAAAAGTGAAATCTGCATGATGTAAATTCATAATGTTGAAACCCTTAACTGATAGTCATGCACATACTGGCTGTGATTTAGAGGGGATCAACTGATGGTTTCTGTCTAGCTAGTCTTGATTAGGTAGTAGCCATGATCAAGAGAGCATAGCTAGTTTGTGTGTTTTCTCCAAATGAAACATTTTTGCTAGTTTGACAGTTTTGACCAGTTGAACCAATTCAGCTACTTTGTGCGTGTTCTGCAGTTAAAGCATTTCAGCTAGTTTCACAGTTTTTTTTTTTTCTTTTAAGTTCAATCTATGTAGCTATTTTGAGCGTTGTGCGTTTTGTCCAATCTTGTCCAATTTTCATTTCGGCTAGTTTGACCGTCACGTCAACAAGTTAAATAAATTCAGCTAGTATGTGCATTTTGCCCAATTTAACAATTTCGGCCAGTTGTAACATAGCTCAGGGTCGGGTAAAAATAGGCAGATAATTCATTTTAAGAGACAAAATATTAGAAACAATTATCTGTTTTAAATGTTAACTGTTCAGTACTCTTTTGCACTTACCACCGTAAATGTCATTAACATGTTGGCAAAATATACTCGATTAATTCAATCCTACCCTTGCATCAAATGAATGAATAATTTGAAAATATTAAAGGTTAAATGTTATCATATCCAACGTAAAACAGACCAACACGGAAAAAAATCATGGTCTTTTTTAGTTTGTTAATTTCACAAGGATGTTTATCATAATATCTATAACTTTCTCGTTGTGGTGCGGACATTCTTGAAAAGAATTTTGTCTTTTAAAATGACTGATATTTCGACAACTATAACGGAAGTCATCATCAGGGTCAAGTGAGACAAGGCTTCCGGGTCAAGCTCCAACACAGAATACAGCGGTCAAAGGTGGGGCATTCGCGAAGGGCATCAAGTTTGGCCGCCAGCGCGCCAATTTACCGCGCAAATAGTCATAGGAAAAGCATAAGAAACACCTGCTGTCTCGCATAATAAGCGAAAGAAAATTGAAGCGTTTAGAAAAATCTGTAAAGGGAAACGGTTGAATTACTCCTGAATTAAAACCATTTTCTGTGTTTTAGCCCTATTTGGAGCATTCATGGAGCATATATATACCTGCATTGACTGATATTAGGGCACTTACCGACGTAAGCTGTGTTGATAACAGGTACACTGGTAATTTTATTGTAAGAGGTGAGAGCGTCACTTTTTGGTACATCTTTTTGTTTGGAATATCCATTAAGTGAAGGAAGATGGGGATTTCTCATTTCTAAGTTAGCTGTAAATATTAAGCGTCCCAATTAAATGTTACTTTGGAAATTTTAATGTTACTTTTTAAATGTTACTTGGAGATTTTTAGATTTTTAAAGTCATAAATGATGTCTTTGATTTATATTCTTTCAAGAAGAACTTGCTCATGTCAAAAAACTTCTTCTGATAAAAGTAAACAGGGGAAACACCCACGGATGGAGATTACGAATGAGCAAATGGATATGGGAATCAGCGAATGACTGAAAGAGGGAACGGAGAGAACGAGCAAATGATTGAATGAGTTAATTAGTCAGTGAGTCAACGAATGAACGAGTCAACGAGTCAAAGGGTCAACGGGTCAACGGGTTAACAGGTCAACGGGTCGACGAGTCAACGAATCAACAAATGATAGAGTGACTGAGCGAATGAGTGAATGAACAAATGAATGACTGAATAACAAACTCATGAACATTAAATAAGGAACAAAAGGGAGAATGGAATAAATGAATACACAAATGGACTAAAGGACTGATTCAAGAATGCATAAATGAATGAATGAATGATGAGGAATGGAAGGAAGTAAGTTATATGAAGGAAAAAGCGAGTAGCGAAGATTAGGAAATTTAGAAGGAAGAAAAGAGAAAAAAGGACTAAAGAGACAGACAAACCTTTACAGAGCTCAATAACAAAAACTAAGTAAGGAATAAGTCCAACAAGTCCACCGAGAAAAAAGCAGATGGCGTAACGAACGAGAAGAGCCGTATGTGGATTATGCTTCCGTGAAAAGAAACGAAATAGTTTCTGTAAACAAAGAAGCAAAGTGAAAATGAGAGTTAAGGATACGTAAGTTTCGCGAAGACAAGAGAAATTATAAAAAAAAATCCAAGTCATAATAAAAGCTTATTAACTTATTTTAGTAATTCTATAGTTGAATGTTATATTTTTTTATGAACGGTCCTATTCTTTACTTTTGATGTACGCTATAAACTTCGCCTGTTTAAATTATCATTTCTTTGTTTTCTCAAACTAAATGTGAAAAGCAATGTTTACGCGAAATTAAGCGGAAGTCAGATCGAAGTCTCGGACAGAGACTGAGAGTTAGTTAGAGAACTCAATTAATGCTTACCTCCTAGTCTGAAGGGGAAAATAAATTTATCATATCAGTAGGAATGTAAGAAAAAAGATAAAGAGATGCTTACGCGGACTGCTTGGCTGTCTCCATTGCTTGCCGACTTCGGTCCCATTTCCTCGTCTGAATCCACTACCACTCGTCTTCTTGGTGGGATCTGTTTTGACATCTTGGGGTCTTTTTGTTCGTTTTGTTTCTTTTTGTTGGAATTTGATGGTGGTTGGCTAAGGGAAGGATGGAAGACCCACAATGCCAGCTTTAATAGATCGTAGTCACAGAATGTTGAACTGATTATCCTTTTTTTGGAGGGGGGAGGGGAGAGAAGGGGCGTTGATTTTGTAAGACATGGAAAGTCACAGAATTTTGCGATAGATCCGAAAAAATAAAAACAGCTTTAAGGTAATTTCTTTCATCCCGACTGGCTGGAGGGAAGAAAAGCCCACTAGATAATACTGCTTTGAGTTAAAAGGCACATTCAAGGCAAGAGGAAGGAGTCAAAGAATTATTACGAGGCGAAACACCTCAGTTGTAAACATTTGCATCCAAAATCAGGGAAAGAAAGTGAAAAACTAGCACCCCTGCAAGTTTATGTGACATGTGGTACAAAATGACAAAATTAAATAGATGATGCGGTGAACCAATGTTACACTGAAAAGAAAAACCATCCCTAGAGGATTTTAGTCAACAAAAGTTGATATGTAGCATGACTTCGATTCTGGAAACTCGGACGGAAGACTTGGTTTACACGGAATAGTGGCAATTCGTAGGTTTTTTTTTTTTAATTATTCAAAATCAAATATGCAACAGCACTATTTTATTTTGTTCAGTTCTTCCCTAAGAACGAAAAAACAAGAAATAATTTACAAACAAAGAGATTTTCTGTAAAACCACCATTATTTAAACTCAGAAATATTTTCGGTCTGGCATACTTTGAAACTCTTAGCGTAGTAATTAAAAGTTTTTTACTTCCGTGAAGGGAACATTTTAAAAATGGATACATGACCTAGGTGATATGCTTCTGATGGATGCTAAAGGTTGCCCATGATCAGGAAAAATAGTTGTACGAGGCAGATGAGTTAAAATAACAATATCTTCAACTCACTGAGTTTAAGTCTTAAGGCTTCGGTAGAGCTGTACATGCACCGAGTATGGGAGTTTTACCATAGAGTCATCACACCTATCACAACCGTATACAACAGAGCTTCCTCGAGAGTAAACCCGTATGCTTTACACAGTATATCGTTTACTTTCCAAATGTGCTTCAGTTAGGAGTCCTCTTTTATGTAGTGATTAATTTTCACTAACTGTTCCCGCTAAAGAGTCCTCCGAGTAAGGTCACCAAAACATTACACTCGAAAGCGAGCACGAGCCATAGAAACTAAGCGATTGAATTGCTTTATCGGTTGGATGACTCAACTTAGAGGCGTTGCTGTCAAAACGGCGTTTGATTATAAAGACTTCATGGCCCAAATTCCATTGGTAAAAGATTTCAAAGTACACGAAGAGGAACTTACAGTCTTCAAAGTTAGCTTAGCTAAGCTAACTTAACAGTGTTTTTATCGTTGCCGATCTGCAGTCTTCAGGTTTTGATTCATGACTATAACAAACGACTTCAGTTTTACCTGAACAGATGCGAAGGCATTTTAAGTTCATTGAATACTTCTGTGTATTGTACAAGACAATTCTTGAAACAATCTATTTTAAAGATCTCTGATATTGAAAGGTAACTGTAGGCTAAGAGGATTAGGTTCCCGTTACACAAACACGTCATGAAAATATTTCTGATAAAAACAGTTGCTCTTAAAGATGGGCTCATCGATCTGTTCTTGTAATTCAGTTATCTCTAGAAGCATAGTTAGTGGAGCAACCATTTTCTAAAAGATACGTTAACAGTTTTTATTACCACTCAGTTGACTATACAAAGACAGATCAGTTGCTCTAAAAGATGGGCTCATCAAACTGTTCTTGTAATTCAGGGTCATTCAGTCTATTCAATTATCTCTGGCAGCAACCTTTTCTTAAAAATACGTAAACAATTATTACCACTCACTTGGGTACTATATTTTGTAGATTGGGTCCTCTTCGTGAAACTCCAGGTAGCCGAAAGAGGCTGCGTAGTTGAAGGAAGCTTAGAAATGCCTGGAAAAACAACACAGAGAATCGTCGTGGCAAAAGTAAGATACAGCTATTGAAAAGATTGTCGAGAAGTGTCGGCGTTGATGAAATCAAATCGTCGCAAACAACATAAATGATTTATCACATGCAGGCGCAAATGGAGCGAATAAGGCGTTCTTATCTTTATAAAGATAGATATCAGGCTTTCTTTAGCACGGAGATCTTCAAAATAATAACTGTTATTTACGAAGAGAGGGAGTGTTCTTATGACACTGAAAACAAAGACGAAATCGACTTGAACAACGGACATTTTGTAACGCTGCAAAAACACAAAATAATTTAGGAATGTACACCTTCGAGAATAACTTGATGAATGAACGCAAAGTGGTTTTATCTTCCCAGTGTAATCGCTCTATAATTAACAACGTCTGAGAAGGAAGGAAGGTAGCATCTTAGGAAACAACAAACAAGAGATATGCCCACCGTGCGCTTTATGTCAAAGTAATAGGCTTCTCAGACGGTAAGCTACACGGGAAGTAACCCTTATCTATGATCTCTTTTGTGTTTTTTTCTATCAACAGCTTGCCCACAATCCACACATTGCTGAATACAGTCGAGATCTTGTCGAATAACAGGTGCTAGGGCTAAGTGTTCAGAGGTGTGACGATGTTTTCCCGAGCTTTCCAGACGATATTTGAAAGAATGGTTAGCGATGAATATGGTAAATATGTGATGTTTCTGTCTCCCAAGCTGTGAAATCGCTCCCAATAAATTCATAGATTATTTTTGGCACAATTAACAAATTAGGACCACACGGACAGAAACAAACATGCCGCCGAGCGATAAGGAAGCTATACCAAGAAAGTAAGATTACAGAAATTATCAAATCGTTGTGATCACGCAAACTGACCTCACGAGAAACTGAAAAATACGAACCGTCAGCTTAATTAGCTCATAGAATGCGATAATTCATCCATGTTTCACGACATCATAAACTCATTAATTGTTTTTCATAACAGTGTGTGTGATCAGATTTGAAGGTAACACTTCGAAAAGACATGCATCGAGCAGTGTAAGTAACGAAAACGCAAATTATTGGCAGAGTTCCACAGCGCAGATGCGATATACAATTATTAAATCAGTCTCAATCATTGATAATCATTCATGATTTATTGATGTTTACATCATTGCTATTTGTTGTTTTCTTGCTTCATCAAAAAGTAAGACTATCAAGAAGGATGTCCAAATGAACGAACGAACGCACGAACGAACGCACGAACGAACACGACCCCCTTCCCCTTTGGTACCTATTTAGAGAGATCAACAAATCTTTACGTTGAAACAAAATCTTATTATTCCTCAACATTCAACCCAGGTTAAAATGATTCAAACTAGGTTCATTTGTATTTCCCTTTGTTTAAAGAAATATGATAATTTTTCAAGATTCAAGAAAGATACAAAAGAAAAAAAAAACTAGTTTTAAATTATTTTTAGCAATTTTCATTTTGAACTATATTATAGAAACGCTCAACTTTTCAACTCGGTTCCAATCTTTTAAGTCGATCACTCCTTCTGAGCGATAAATCGAAATTGCGATAAACAACGTTTCCCACAGTTTTTCAATAGCATTCGCAGGAAGCCAGCATTTCAAAAAAAAGACAGCAATCAGATAAACAAGCACTACCAGCGACTGGAGATGTTTATTTCCATTCAACGGGTGTATACTCCTTGCAGCCAATCTGAGAAAATTCTCGGCTTGACGATGAATGGATCCAACACTGATTTAAATTAATTTATTAGTGTGGACTAAAAACAATAACAACCAGCTGTAATTAATTCTTGATGCCACAAACCGGCAAAATTGTTGAATGTTGAATTTTTCGGGAAAGGAGAAATGGCTACTTATGAAGTTTTGTTTTATGACTAGAAAAGGCTTATCACCCACAGGAAAATTCTGTAACTATCTCAGTATTGAACCAGAATCTTCTGCTATTTTGAATGACAAAAAGAGCTTTAAAATACGAAGATGTAAGAAGAAATAAAAGGGCTGTAAATATTTGCAAACCTATTTGAATATTTGTACAAAATATTTGTAAAAATTTCGTTTAACTCACCATTCAAGGCGCCAGCGAACTCTTACCGTTTCCCGGCGTGCTGCATTCAGCGGCTTTGAATTGTTTCGAATTTCCTTGCGTAAATTCTACATCAGGATGGGTCAGAGAGTTATACAACCGACGCCTTATTTAATTTAGACTTCACCAAACTCCCTTAGGTGACCAAAGAAAATATTTACAGTAGTGGAAACTCAAGACAACAAAAAAATCATTGATCACCATGAAGGTGACTCATTTAGTATCAGACCACTGTTTAGTCTGAAGGTTTATGTAACCGCGAATTTTGAAAATATTATCGAAAGTTTTCGACGCCTACGTCAAGTTTTATATATGACCAATGAGAAAAACTCATAAGTAATGAATGTTAGTGGTTTCGAGAAATTAATTTTGCCTATTTTAGGGATTTATCGGGAAATTCACGTGAATCCAAAGCGTTTCAGGTAAAGTGTTCCTCAACACCTGGTGAGCTACCCGAGTTCGACCCTCACTGCATCGTTGCAAAGTACAAAAAAATTGTCATTTGGGTTGAGGAAATGATCGTGAAAAAAGTAAGAAGGTTGCATAATCATATACGGAACAACATTTTGAATATTTACGGCCCAATTATAGCTATGAACTCTGGCCTTTGATTAGGTGCTAAAAGGCTGAAATTACAAGTTATCGCCTATTATTCGTGAAAGCATGATAACGACACTTTTAAAAACCAGTGCTCCTAAGCTTAATCATCTCAGGCAATTTGTATAAAACAGGCTTTTTTCCAAAGACAATAATGATAACTTGTAAGGACAAAATTCACATACTTTTATTATTGTTTTTTTTTTTTTGTGTTTTTTTTTTTTTTTTTTTTCTCTATACGCGTGTATGTCTGTGACGCGTGTTGGGTGACATTTGAAGTCGTTGTGACGTCATTAATGTCACGCTGTCAGGACGTCATGACTTATCCCCTGGGCAGACTTTACCATGTTTATCCGTTCNAGTATCGCAGAGGTCAGTGGTTCGAATCCTGTACAGGCCTGATTTTTTTCAGGTCTGATTTTCGCTATTGCATAAATAGCGCTATCTACTGCGAAGGATCGTGCATCATACGTATTAGATTTTGGTGTTTACCACGGCACGACAGTCATGGTTCGAGATCCATTATAATGATCACCGGATTCCTGACGACTTCTTTGAGCAGCAGCTCCGAATTCGAAGAGCAACTTTTACTCAGCTTTTGAACATCATAAGTCCACATGTCGCAAGACGAGATACATTTATGCGAAACTGTATTCCACTGAGCAGAAAAGATTTTGGCGATAGGTTTATACAGATTAGCACATGGGAATTCGTATGTTTCCATTGCCCCTGTTTTTAACGTCGGAAAGTCCAGGGTCATTGAAGCAGTACAAGATGTCGTAAACGTCTTATATGATCAGCGAAATCATTACATCAAGTTCCCTACGACGATTGCGGAGATGACTGAGTATATTGCAAGTTTTAAGAGAACCAGATCTGAGTCACGGTCAAACGTTGCAGTTGCTAGAGATGGGACACATATCCCAATCATCGCGCCCAGAGAAGATGCAGTTGAGTATTTTAGTCCTTACCAGCAGCATGATGATTTTTTAAAGGGTTGTAGATGGCACTGGAAAATTCATTGACGCAGTCGCAGGGATTCCCTGGGAGTGCTCATGATGCAAAGGGTTTTGAGAAACAGTAACATTTATGGAGAGGCTCAACAGGGAAACATTCTGCAGGCTCCACACGTAGATACAGATGGGAATGATAAAGGTCCATACCTAGTTGGAGATAGTGCTCATCCACCAACACCCTGGCTCATAAAGCCATTTCCAGAGGGAACAAAAGATCCCGATGAAAACACCTTCAACAAAGAGCTTAGCAGAGCAAGAGTTGTTGTAGAGCGTGGCTTTGGAATTTTAAAGAGACGTTGGAGAGTGCTACAGAAACACCTAGACAGCTCCCTGAATTTTGCAACCAAGACTACCATTGTATGCACTGTTCTTCATAATTTTTGTATAGAAGCTAATGATGACTGGGATGATGACGACGACGATGGCCCACCCAACAACGATGGAAACAATAATGTAGTTGTTGGAGATGCTGATGAAATACAGGGTGCACTAAAGGACTTTGTTTGCGGCAACGTATAGATAACTCAAAAACAGTTTATTTTTTATTCGATTTACAAAAATAAAAAGTGAAGTATGATTGTACTAACTTCTGTCTATTTCTTAAAACTCGATCATCACTTGTAACGTGATTTCTGATGCTTAATAATACGAAAGTCCAATGTTCCTTAATTCATGCTAAAATGTTCCACCACGCTAAAATGTGCCCAATCATTCATACAAATCGCTATAATCAGTTTATTTTGAATCGTTTTCATGGTATCGTTTGTTTTCTAGATCTGAGCGCCAGAATCGCAAAGAACTCACTAAACACGATACTTGAAAATATATTAAGAGTTTTATTTCTCCTCGTCAAAGCTTTACTGACAAAAAAACTGGTAAAAACCCTTTCTTGGAAAGTATACAACACTGCCACTGCAACCTGTCCGCTGTTAGATAAATCAAAAAACTATTGCCAAAATGAAGAAAATACTATCCATGTTTAAACATAGCAAATGGTTTACGATTCAAAAACGATTCTATCCCTTCCTAAAATGAGTAAAATGTCATTACTTGCCGTACAGACGATGTAGTACTCAATGATATTAAGGTCTACGAGTGATTTAAAAAAAAAAAAACAACAACAACAACAATTTTCTGAAAAAAGTAGTTTTTGTTCTCTTAACTACAGCTACAATACGTTTGATCAAGAGAACATGGTGTCTTGAATATGGATAAATGATTTCTGTGTAGTTTGACGTCTCTAGTTCACATCTGCTCTGAGTTATACTACAGTGTGGCTTTGCGGGATTTCCACAATTCGATATAAAATGCCACAGAAAACTCACGTTTACGCGTCATACAAGGCGCAAAAAATTTTGCCCTGGGATAAGTACTATTTTGTATTTATTTAATTTTTTAATCTAAAATCATAACTGTCCACAAGATTGATATGACAGCTGCTATAGAAACTTAGTTCAAACTTAGGAGCCTATTTCTGTCTTATTTGTATAGGTTAAAAAGGGGGGTCCACATACCCCTCTTCGATAAAAAAAAAAACTGTTTACTGATTCTTAAAAGAGAAAACACTTTGAAGTCACGATCAGTTCTACATCCTCGAGACAAAGTGAATCAAAGACCGACGGCCGTTGCTACTACAAATTTCAAGTGGTGTACAAAAACGTGCGCCCTGGAAGATAACTTTGTTAATGATAATCATGGGTCGCAACATTGTAGAACTTGTAGATTAAATCAATCTCGAGAAGATCATTTCAACGAAAATGAATCCGGCTATCAAACCGTTTTATGCAGCGAAAAACTGAATGAATGAATGGAGCTGCTTACTGAGGAAAGTTGAATCTAACCAAACTCCTCAAGTATGCTGAAACTTTTTGATACAAAGTTTGTAGTTAGAGGAGTCTCCTCTACTCACTCTGATAGATACTATTTCACCTCTCATTTTTATAACTAACTTCTTTCTTAAACGAGGAAGATATTCTTATTAATAAAATTATCCTCTTCTGTCTCAGTTACTGCAAATTATTGTTTTTAAAGGTAGGTTTGATATACCGTGGTTGGTATATTAATCGCCAACAATGAGCGATCCAACAGGAGAAAACCTGGATTCCTTTTTATAGTTTCTAATTCTGCTCAGAGTAATTTAGAGAATAGCAATGTGGGAAAATCTTTACCAGCAATAGACTGAAATGTAAATTTTATACCTGAACAGGTCACTGAACTGATAACGCCTTCTCCACACCATGAAACTGGATGACCTACTCTTGCCTCTATGCGGTATGTGGTGTTTCCCCTCAAAACAATCTCTTTGTCAAATAGTATTTGGTAAGTATGGTATCCGCCAAAGTTAGTATCTTCAAAGTTGTTGCTGGAAAACTTTCCAGATAGGTGCGCTAGTTGACTTTGGTTGTTCCATAGGCTCAGCTCCACCGGGTTATCTTTACCACCACCACAGAGACATACTCCTTGTAATAATATCTTTCTGTCCACAGACACCTCTACGACACGAGAGCCATTCGCCTCAAGCTGATCAGGGAAAAGGTTTCTACCTCTCAAAAATCTGAAACAGCGATGAATTTCACCACAGGCACGAGGAACAGACGATCTTATCTTCTCTGGGAATCCCACGGGAACACACAGCGCTGAATTTAGGTATTTGATCAATTTCTTAACTTCGTCTGGATTTAGAATGTCACTGTCCAACACAGTTTTGGCAAAATCTTTTTGATTCATCACTGGGAAGCGGATTGCTTTGACAATTTCTTCTCCAAGAACTCTTCTTTTGGTTAAGCCATCCGCCTCTAAACCTTGTCGCCCGCATTCTCTTGTGGCCCACGAGTCAACAGCTTTAAACAGATTTATCTCTTCGATTGTCAGTGTATCTCTAGTGACCACTGACTCGAGTAACGACCTCTCAATTGCAAAAAATCCTTCTGATTCCGCTGCTTGCTCTGTATTCTCATCGATCACTTTCCAGCATCTTTCCACCAGGTCTTTCTCTTCATATTTCTGAGCAGATGGTAGAATGCCGAACACATTGGAGGGATCCAGGTTTTGAAGGAGATATTCGGCACATTTATTAGCTACTGAAGGTACCATGTATTTCTTCGCCAGATATAACACTCCCATCACATTAATTCCGCTCAAGTTCACTTCATCGCTGTACATGAAACGAAAAAACTCCAGCAGACTCTCGTACTCACAGTCAGGCAGTTCAATAGAGTCTTTAGTCTCCACCAACTCACCATAGAACATGGCTTCAAACACAGGACTGCTGATCGACAATACTAACTTGTGAGCGGGAATCACTTGTTTTCTTTCACTTCCGCCATCCGTCGTTCGCACGACGAACTTTACATCGCTGAACAAATCGTTGTTGAAAATGAACTTACTTCTTTCCTTTATAGAAAGCTTTGTGAATTGCCAGCTTTTCTTGACGACAGACATGGCCTCTGTGATTAGTTATACAGTATAATCGAATGGAGAACGTCTTAAGAGTCGGAAAACGTATATTAGATGATCAGAAAAAGTACCGAAGGGGCAACAAAGTAGAGCACAAGAAGTAGTGGACCACGTTTCCAACTGGTCAGCGGACAACTTATTCCAGGTAAACCTTAAGAAGACTAAAGAGCTTACTATCATTTTCTGTCGTTCCCCGGAACTTTTCGACCCAGTTATAGTTGATGGGACTCAGATCCAAGCAACTACTTCTAGCAAGCTTCTTGGCCTTACCATCAACAACACACTAACATGGAACGATCATGTAGATAGTTTAGTTAAGAAAGCAGCTAGGAAAATTCATTTCCTTGTGCAACTTAAACGTGCACGTGTTCCAGCCGAAGATCTAGTTGCCTACTACTGCGCATGTATTAGATCCTCCCTTGACTACGCTTGCCCAGTGTTCCATTATTCTCTACCTTAGTACTTACAGTCAGAGTTAGAAAGAGTTCAGAAAAGAGCTCTGACGTGTATTTTTCCTAGAATGCCGTACGGGGAAGCGTTAGAGCGCGCCTGTTTGACTTCTATCAGGGAACATTACGAAGGCGTTACAAAGTCGTTATTTAAATCAATCAGCGAGAATCAGAACAATAAACTACATTACTTAATTCCTGAAGCCCATAGCCCTTATTATAATTTAAGGCGCCAAAGAACGTACAATATACCAGCAGCCAAGACAAAGCGTTTTGCTAATTCGTTTTTCGTGAAGCCGCACCGCTGTACCGCACCGCTGTCGTTTTTCGTGCAGCCGCACCGGCTGTAGGGAACTTTTAATAGAACTTTAGGTCATCACATTTTATATTTGTATAGTAGTAGTTTGTAAAAAAATTGCGCAATTCAGTAGTATACTGCGATGTGATTTTAATAAATCAGTCTATCTATCTATCTATCTAAGCCTAACCCAAAATCGTGATCATTGGTGTGGATCTCCCGATAACTCAGTGCAACCGAGTAGCCTTGGGGTTAGAGACTTCTTATTGAGACGGGATATGATCATTCTCATGCATGGATTTAAATCATTAGCAATTATCTATTTTAATAACCCTATTGAGAAAAGTCTCGTTTTAGACGTACTGTGCCCTTGGCCTTTGGTTACATGATCCTGGAATTTATGCTTTCCGAGCATTTTCCTCTTTTCCACCAACCCATGCAGTGTTGACTAAACGCTTACACCGCAGTAATATGCATGTCATAGTTATTCCTTATTTTTTTAAAGCCTTCAATTCTCTCGTCTCCGCTAACTCACAGTAAAACATCGCTTCAAACACACCGCAGGACTACTAACCGACAGCACACACTCGTGAGCTGTGAGAGTTTTCTTGTTTTCACAATTCGCCAACTACCCGCTGACAAAAAAGCAGAGATTATAAACAATTTATAATCTCTTGCAACAAACCTGACATTGCTTTTAAAATTAGTACTGTGTTTTGTCGTTTGCCATAAACATATGGGAGTGATATCGTAGAAGTTCTGGAACTAACGATGCCCTCTTAATAAAATTAAGAAATCGAGAAGTGTTCAGTAATAACTCATACTAATTTCATTGCGACAATACATGCCTTGAAGGTATTTTCAGCGGCCAGCGAACTGAAAATAGATTAAAAATCACACCCAACATAATCATATCAGTGGTGTGAACGAACTCATTCGTAAGTTTCGTGAGCGCCAGAATCGCAAAGAACTCTCGAAATACAATATTTGACAGTAAATTAACAATTTTATTTCTCCTCATCACAGCTTTACTGACATAAAGCAGGTTAAGACCCTGTTGAGGAAAGTATACAACACAACTGCAACCTGTCCGCCACACTATTGTCAAAATAAAGGAAATACTTTTTATATTTAGACACAGCAATTGATTTACAATTCACAAACAATGCTATTCCCACAGAAATGAGAATAATGTTAATACTTGTAGTACAGACGATGTGATACTCGATGATGTAAATGATTTTTTAAAATAATTTACCGAAAAAAAACAGTTCTTTTTCTCTTAACTTCAGCTACAATACGTTTGATCAAGAGAACACGGTGTGTTGATTTTGAATCAATGATTTCTGCATAGTTCGACTTCTGTCATTCACATCTACTCAGGGTTTTTGCTACTGTGAGGCTTTGCGGAATTTCCACAATTCGATGTAAAATGTCACAGAAAACGCACGTTTAAGCGTTTAATGGGGCGAAAAAAAAAATTTTCCGTGGGATGAGTACTCTTTTAAATTTATTTTGTTTTTTATCTAAAAACGTAACTGGAAAAAAGATAGATGTGATAGCTGCTATTTTAACGTACTTTGAACTTAAAAGCCTTTTTCTGTCTAATTTGCTTTTCCCCTCTTCGTCTTCTCACTTCCTAGACTGCAAAATTACAGTCAAACTCTTTAAGGGATATCCCTCCTCAACCTCCACTATTCTTGAGAGAGAACCCAACAAGTTAAAAAGGGGGTCCACAATTTAATTTAATTTAATAATAAGTTCTTATATAGCGCATTAAAATTGAACTCTATGCGCTTGAAAATTGAACTCTATGCGCTTGAAAATTGAACTCTATGCGCTTGAAAATTGAACTCTATGCACAAACCCCTCTTCGATCAAAAAACCTGTCTACTGATTCTAAAAAGAGGAAACACTTTGAAGGTTCGATTCTAAACCCTCGAGACAAAGTGAAGCAAAGACCGTTTAGGAAATTTGACAAGTTAATTTAACCAAACTCCTCAACCATGCTGATATATTGGTAAAGAGTTGGTTGTTACTAGAGTTTCCTCAACTCACTCTTACAGGTACTATTTCACTTCTTATCTTTATAACTACCTTCTTTCTTAAACGAGGAGGGTATTCTCGTTATTAGAATATTACTCTTGTGTCTTAGTTACTGCAAAGACTTTGTTTCAAGGTAGGTTTAATATACTTTGGTTGGTATAAACGAAACTATGGCCACAAATCACCAAAAATGAGCGATCCCGAACAGAAAATATAAATGCATATATCTATCGTTTCTAATTCTACTCAGAGTAATTTCGAGAATAGCAATGTGGGAAAATCTTCACCAGCAACAGACTTAAATGTAAATTTTACACCTGAACAGGTCACCGGATTTATAACTTTGTCCCCGCGCCATGAAACTGAACGACTCACACTTGCCTCCAGGCGGTATGTGGTGTTTTCTCTCAAAACAATCTCTTTCTCAAATAATATTTGGTAAGCACTGTACCTTAACTTAGTAGTACGGTAGAAGCGGGTAGAAAACGTTCCAGATACATGAGCTAGTTTACTTAAGTCGTTCGATAGGCTCAGCTCCACAGAGTTATCATTGTTACCGCCGCAGAGACATACTCCGCGTAACAGTATTTTGCTGTCCACAGAAAACTCAA